AAATTGAAAATTAAGAAAGAATAATAAAACCCCTCAATTATTGCAACTTACTAGTCATGAGCAGAACTGTAAGTCATGCAGCAGAAACTGCAGAATATTTGGAAGACCCCAAGAAAAAAAATTGAACCAGAGAACCATGGAAGGACTTGAGTTGGAAGGGACCTGTGTTAGAGCACCCAGTCCCAGCCTTTGCCCTGGGCAGGGCCACCACCCTCCAGCTCAGGCTGTCCCGGGCCCCAAAGATGATCAGAGGGCTGCATCACCTTATCTACAAAGACAGGCTGAGGGAGCTGGGCTTGTTGAGCCTGGAGCAAAGAAGGCTGTGGGGTGACCTCATTGCAGCCTTTCAGTATCTAAAGGGAGCCTATAAACAGGAGGGGAGTCAACTCTTTGAAAGGGTAGATAACAGCAGGACAAGGGGAAATGGTTTTAAGTTGAGGGAGGGGAGACTTCAGTTGGATGTCAGGGGAAGTTCTTTCCTATGAAGGTGGTGAGGTGCTGGAACAGCTGCCCAGGGAGGCTGTGGATGCCCCATCATCCCTGGAAGTGTTCAAGGCCAGGCTGGATGGAGCCCTGGGCAGCCTGGACTGGTATTAAATGGGGAGGTTGGTGGCCCTTCCTGTGGCGGGGGGTTGGAGACTTGTGATCCTTGAGGTCCCTTCCAACCCCGGCCATTCTGTGATTCTGTAATCACAAACTTAGTCGGCACAGTTGCTCTTATTAAGGTGTTTTAGCATGCAAACTTGCAGGTTAACAGACTTTAAAAACGCACTTTGTTCGCTGTGCATCGTTCAGAGGCTTAAAGAAAACACGACGGATATGGTAGAGCATGCCAGAGAATCGCGTTTTCATCGAGGAACCGAGATGCGCCGGGGCACGCCAGGGCTCAGCACCGCTTCCTTCCCCAGCGCACCCACAGAGCGCAGCACGCTCCGCATCCCGGCCGGAGGGCTCCTGCGGACAGCCGCCGGCCTCCGCCACCCGGAACGGCTTTAACCGGACGTCTCCTCGCCACCGTCGCGCTGCGGCTCGCCGCGCGCCTCCCCTTCCCAAAGCCCGGCTCCCGCCGCTCGGCCGAGCCCGGCACCGGGCTTCGCTCCTTGCGGCCTCTCGCCATGCGCCGCGCGGCCCTCTGACAGCCGGGGAAGGGGAGGCAGCGCGGGTGCGCGCGTATAAACGGGAAGAGCGGCCTCACCTTCTGCAGGGCCCGCACGTTGTCCTCCCCGAACAGGCCGCTGACGCCCTGGTAGAGGCCGCTGGCGGCTCGGCGGAAGCTGTTCTGCTTCTCGGCGCCGCGGCTCCGCGCCGCCCGAGCGCCGGGCCCCACCGTGCCGCCCAGCAGCAGGGCGAGGAGCAGCAGCACCGCCGGCAGCCGACCCGCCGCCATGGCTGCCCGCGCTGCACGCTGCGCCGCGGTTATAGCGCCGCCTTCAGGCCGCGCCGCGAGGTCCGCCGCCGTCCTTGGGGCGGGGCGCGGGCAGCCGGGGCGGTGCGGCTCCATCGGATCGGTTTCACGTGGGTCCTTCCCAGCGATCGGAGCAACAAAAGCGCAGCAGTGCGAGTTGGGCAGCGTTACCTGCAGCTTCTGGGTAGCGAAACCTAGCCGGGACGTGAGCACGGCGAGGAGTTGCGGTTGTGTCTGGGGAGGTGACCGTGCGTGTACAGCATTCGCTGGGGATCTCTGCTCTGATAACTGCACTCCCCCATAGAGAAAACTCTGCTCCTGTCTGCCCCTTCCATGGGAGCTCTACAGCCTCAGGGCGCACCTGTGGCTCAGGTTTTCGTATCTCTTTCTGATACTGGAACCATGTCCTTGATGCTTAAACTCGTGGCTGGGCCTAAATCTTGTTACAAAGTAGTCAAGCAGACATTTAGATTATAGATATTTTTCTTATTGCCTTTTAGTCTGGCCAAAATGCTTATTTTCACATTTAGCAGAATAGCTCAGGCCTTTCAGCCTTTATTTATATTTGGCCCTGAAGGCTCTGGGCTCAGACCCAGGGAGGCACTTAGGCTCCCACGTGATTTCAGTAGGACATTGATTCTTTATATTTTCATAAAAGCTGCTTTCATTCTGTTTTAATCCTGGACCTGGTCATACCTGTACATACGCTGATATCTGTGTCGTGCTCTCCAAAATGAGTTGGCAGTGGATAACAGTTACTTTGAGGTTGTCAGGGGGTCTCTGGTTATCTGCCCTCGGTGTCATGCATTGATTCCCAGCATACAGCATCCACTCTGGGGGCATTTCCTCCATGTAAAAATTTCGCATTAGCAAAACATATCTGCAATTTAATTAAATGTCACAAATGTTGTTTTCTGTGCCAGTTACAATTGCTCCATTTGCTCTCAGCTGGCATGGCTTCTTCTGGATCTCCTTGCGCTGTTTCTGGTCCAGCAGGTCTTGATGCTGAGGATCTGGGACAGTTCCTATTTCCCTGTGTGAATTTTCATTGGGAGTATTTCCCCCAAAATCCATTCTGCAAAATGTTTGTTGTTTCCTTCCGTCCGCTCTTTGCAGATGCCTGTGGGCCAATTTTAGAGGCTGTCTTTGGAAGCTGTGATCGTGGCTGTCCTTCACAAGAGGTCAGGTTAATTTGGGAATCACCCCTGGCACATCACAGATTTCCAGATCTGTCTCAATGAGCCTATTTTAGGTAAATTCACCTCACCTTACCGCAGCTCTTACGAAATTACACAATATTCCACCTTTATCTTGTTTAAATAAATGAAACCATGTCTGCTCAAAGAATACATTGCCTCATGGCATGAAATATTGATCTCATTTTTCTTTAACCACGTTGAACTTTTTATTAGGACAACTGTGAGGCTTCTAGAAGGATCTTCCCCTGAGGATGAGCAGTGTGAGCAGCACGCCAGCACTTGTGCTTCCTGATCTGGAGACTGCACGTGTTTTCTTATTCAGAGAGGTCTAACAACATTCTTAACAGCTTTGGGAATAAATTGGGGTCTTTGCAATGTCAAACTATTATCGTGTCACAGGGTTCTCTCTTTTTAAAATCATTCTTACATTGAAAAATAATTGGCAAAGCCTTTAAGAGAGCTGAGTGGCGTTGATGCGAACCAGTCCTTAACCTCCCCAACCCTTCTTTTTCTGCCTTTACTTCATCTCACAGCTCACTTTGCCATAACTTATTATATACAACCTCCTTCTGTGCCCTTTTTATTCACGTTCTGCTGTTATCTCTATGAGGCTGCTGTGCTTCACTGCTTCTTTTCTTTTTTTTTTTTCTTCCTACTTTCTGCAGATGCTTTTGCTTTTTGTTCTGGCTGCCCTTACCTCAGGCACCACTCAAGGGCAGCTGAGCCCAAGAATGCCAGCTGTGCCTCAAGATTCTCACCCTCCTACAGACCAATTAACCAGCTGGTGGCCACTCCGAATATGGGGATTTGGAGCACAGTTTCTTAATGCAGCTGTTGGATCAGTGGATCACCATCAATCCTGAGCACAGAGTGCCCTGAGGTATAATTACAAAACTGTTAGCTCACAGTGATTGTATCCCTTGTTTTAATTTAACAGGCTGGCTGCAGGTTAGTTGTGCCACAAGTGAGGCAGTATCATCACCATTCCTCTTAATAACTCCTGCAATGTCCTTTGAAGGGTTCTTAATCTAATCTAGAGCGCAAACCGCGATTTAATTTGTAGCCGATTATTACCACTATTAGGTATAAAGCCAGGGTAAGAACAGATTTGTAAATTGTGAATTCCAGTTAACCTCATTTGGGTTATTTTCCCTCTAACTATTCTCATCTAGCTTCTGAATCGTTAGCAGTCACTGCGTTCCTCCTTGAGCTCCTTTTGCTGGTTTCGTTCTCCCTTTTCTCCCCGCTTCTCTGAAGCCACTTTTGAAAGATGAAAAAATGTTTTATTTGGATAAGGAAAAAGAGGAATAACATTGAGGTACAGGGAGACAGATCCAAAACGAGGATGCAGCAGTGCAACTGCTGTTCGTACATGAGAAGGGCGCCAGGTGTTCCTAAAACTCGACTTCTATCACAAACCCCACCTGCTCCTTCCTCCTCCAACTGGAGCGGCCTGCTTTAAACCGAGCCTTTTTGACCTCAGGGAGAAGAATTTTTGGGTCCCTCCTCGGGTCATTCGGCGCCACGTTTTCTTTTTGGATGCAAACTTGCTTTGTGAGCTGAAAACGATTACAACCAGCACCCCTCAGCAACCAGCCCTCCACCCTCCGCTGAGAATAAGAGCTCCCCCCGGATTGGGCACACCTCCTTCCGATGCGTCAGCTCATTGGTCGGCAGAGACGACGGCTTGCAAAATGTCCGCGCTGATTGGTTCCTCGCCATGTCAGCTCTTCCCCGCTCAGCCTAGCCGTGAGGAGAGCGGGCTCTGGGCTGATGTGGGGCCAGGCGCGCGCCGGCCAATCGCTCGTGGCGGCGTCGTGACCGCCGTGCGCCGCGCGGATCCGTCCGCAGCGCGGGGCCGCCTGACGGGCGGCGGCCGGAGCGGGGGAGGGTGTGCAGGGCAAGCGGGGCGAAAGCGGGAATCACCCCTTTTTGCTTCGGTCTGTGCCCGAGCTGAATGTGACAGGGGGGCTGGGAGCGTCGGGCGAGGCTCTCGGAGAAGCTGCCCCAAAATGTCATATCTCAGCGCACGAGGGGAGCGGCTGGGCGGCCACGCTCAGGGCACGGGGACAGCGACCGCTCGCTTCACACCTGAGTGACCCCAGCGCCGAGCCGGAGGGCACGGGGCCGTGCGATTGCCGCAGTCCCGTGTTTTCCCAGGCCTGCCAGATTTACTTGGCAGCTCGTTACACGCCGCTGTCCCGCTCTGGGCTACGTCTGCCAGTTCACGGCTATCAAGAGACGAGAAGCAGCCGAGCTGCCGCGCCGAGCCCGCGGACGGCCGGCGGTGCAGTGGAAGGACACGCTCTGACGGGCGGGGCGCACTCCTTCGGCTCCGCGGAAGGTTACCGCGACGGGTGGTGAAGCGACCCTTAAAGCGCAGCGCCCCGCACAGCGCCGCGCAGTGTGCGCTGAGAGCCGCGGCGGGAGCGCTGCTGTGCGGCGGCTCTGCGAGAGCGGTGACGGTTCTTCGCGCGCCTCCGTTCTGCGCCGCCATGTCCCGCGAACCTGAGATCATGGAGTCGCAAGTGATGTGGGAGCCCGACAGCAAGCGGAACACCCACATGGATCGGTTCCGCGCCGCCGTGGCCGGCAGCTGCGGGCTCCGCCTGGGTGAGCGACACGGGAGAACGGGCGGGGCGGCCCGAGGGGCATCGTAGGGCCGCGCATCCCCTCGGGCGGTGCCGGCTGCGGGCGTGATGCTGTGCCGCAGCCTCGCGCGTGGGCCTCGGGTGCTGCATCGCGGCTGGAGCGGAGCTGGGCGGCGGCAGAGCGTGCGAACGGAGCTGTGCGGTACCTGCGGGCATTGCGGGGCGACACAGGGCGGGGGATCCCCCGGGGGGGGGGGGGGGGGGGGGGGTGTTGAGATCCGGTGTGCTGAGCTGGGAGCGGGAGAGAAGGCTGTGTTTGCTTTCTTTTTGTTTATGAAGGGAGCGTCGTCGTTTGTAGCCTGTGTGAGGTCTGGGGAGGGAGATGCGATGTGGGCTCAGTGGTGGAGGTGAGGTTACTGCTATATGGCTGCACGAGTTCTTCTAGCTCTGCTTCGTGCCCATTCAGCCGTGTGGCTGTGCCTTGGCGTGTGCTCCTCTGATTCGATCCACCAGCTTTGAGTTTAGCACCGCTTTGGGTGGGCGGTGAGGCCTCCAGAGGGGTTTTCCAAACCCAAGTTGTGTCAGCTCTATTGAGTGCAGGCTGTGAGCAGTGCTGAAGGTCTCAGGAACCAGCGGGGCTTCGGGGGCACATCTGTGGTGTGAACCATGTTTGGGACAGGGGTTGAGCTCATAGCTGTGATTGCCCTGATGCAGTCTGGACACCCTCAGTGTTTAGGCAACGGGCTGCTTGTGTAGCTTTTCAGTTCCTATCCCTCTACCAGGGGATGAGGGATGGAGGGAGCAGTTCTGGCAAATGGCCTCACTGGCTCATCTGTCCTTGAGTGTCTGCAGTATATACACTGTTCTGGAGCATGTAGTCCAGCAATCAATTCCCTTCTGAAAAGCCATCTTAAGGCTTTATAAGGAACTTTATTATTTATTATTGTTGATAAGGAACTTTATGTCCAGGCACACTAGGTTAAAGTTTTGTTTTGTAAACACAGTGCCCAAATCTTTGGCTATGTTGGAAAGAAGTTATTGCAGGATTTCAGCCAAGCCTTGAGTCAGGATGTCACAACTGCTATTCGGATGGCCGAGACCAAATGCAGTTTCAAGTGGGCTGTGCAGATTTCTAGTCAAAAGAGCTAGAATTTTTCACTTCATTTCAATGCAGCTACCACTTCAAAACGGATTCCTCTGTATAGGAACCTTTGTCAACTTCCATTAGATACAAACTGATATTCGCTGGTCTGCACGCTATTCGGCAACTAAGAATGGATTCTTTATGTAATATCAAGATGTGGCCTCGCTGTGGACAGCCAAAGGCAATAGAGCCCTTTGAACAGCACAGTTCTGTCCATCCCTGAAACGTAGCAATGAAATGCAATGTTTAATTGCTGAGTAACAGGTCTGGGCCCTGAAGGACTTGTGTGCCAAAGCTCATCTGGGGACAAACTGCACAGACAAGACAGAGCAAGCTAATCGTGTTAGAAGAAACCAGATGGATGGTGGTGGTGTTTGTAGCACTTACTGAATGGTTTGGATCACGTGCTGCAATTTCCTTTCGAAGGGGAAGGAGGGGGGTGAGTTTAGTCAAACCTGTCCTCATATCAACTTATGGACGTTGAGTAGTATATCAAAGATTAACTTGGGTGGAAGTTCTTCCTGTAAGAAAACAGAACTGGAGGCTGAGCTGGTGGCAACATATAGGTAGTAGTGGGGCACTGAGGAAGGGACATTCTTTGCTTTCACCTTGTCAAGTTTACTTTCTGCTATATCAGTAGTATCTGAGTAATCTTCCACTGATAAAGATGATGTGAAAGGGGCAGGCTGGTAGGGAAACAGCAAAAATTGTGTGAATAGTGCTGTAGAGATGGCTCAGATGCTCTCTTATGAGGCTGAAAGACGGTTTCCTTGTCAAAGGAAGACAAAGGTGACTTTTAATCAGGCAGATAACAGGCTGACAAGGCAAAGAGAATTAGAGAAAATAAATTCAATTGATTTAGTTGAAAGTGTCAAATAGGAAACAGTTGGCAGGGTAGGAAACTGTTACTACCTCTACTGATAGCAGATACTCTGTGTAACTTGGCTACTGGCACAGCTTCAGGCAGCATGGACATGACATCCTCAAGCAACCTAAATTGAGGAATTTGCTTCAGCTATTCATACCCAAAACTGCTTTACGTGCTGCATTTTGATTTGTTGAATACTACAGTTCTGAGTTTCAGTTTGAATTGTTGTACTGGAATTTTTGTGTGGATTCCTCAGGTTACTTCCTCTGTTTGTTGTGTGAAACTTCACCTTCTCATTGCCATATTCTTAATACCCCCTCACAGTTGTCATGGCTGGCCAGTGAACTTGTATTAATACCTCTTGTGATAAAACTGTTTCAGCATGAAAATGATTCTATCCCTCACCCTTCACTTGGTGAGGAATAGTGCGTTCTTGCTTCATATGGTGCTGTTAGACAGTGAGTGGATCCAATTGGTGATGTAGCACAGCTATTAGAAAAGGTCCCTCTCTGTCTCTTTGGTTGCAAATGGCTCGTAAAGCAGTTAGGTGAAATGATGCCATCTGTTCAAGTCACACTATGTCTGTTGATGCCACAGTCGCTTGCCTTGAACAATGTGTTGTGTTTGTGTAGCAAGGGTTCTGCTGTGGGGGGCTGCAGGGGTGGCCTCTGTGAGCAGAGCCCAGCAGCTGCCCAGTGCGGGTCAGAAGCAGTTCCAGCTCCCCAGAGCAACCTGCAGCTGGCCGGAGCTGAGCCACGAGTGATACAGTTTGTCTGGATTTAGGGCATTCCTGAGTATAGTTGGTCTACATTCCTGTAATTCTGTGTAACACTAACAGCCGTTTGTTACTTCTAGCCAACTACAACGACTTGTACCAGTGGTCAGTGGAATCCTTTGCGGACTTCTGGGCAGAATTCTGGAAGTACAGTAACATCGTGTGCTCTCGCCTGTACGATGAGGTGAGCTGCTGCTACTAATCAAGTACAACACAGAGGGGAGATCAACCACTTTTACAGCTGATCTTTTGAACTGCTGCTGTAAACCTTCTTCCATTAATATGAAAAATTGAACTTCCTTGCGTAGTAGATTGTGGTGTTTTGTTGCTGATAAATTCTAGTACAGTGAAATCCCCAAGTTTTGTTGTCCTACACCATTCTTTAGTGGCTATGTGCCCTCGAATACCCTGGCAGTCCTGGCAGATTGTAAGGAGTCTATCAATACACTGATTTCTGTATCAGAGCTATGCTGATAGTATATCATGGCATGCCCCCAAGTTCATGTTTGTATTCTCTGAGTCAGCTTTTCTGGTAAGTGTACCTGTTACCCACCAGTTCTGTGGGACTGGTTCTGCAGCTACCTGCAGTCAGATGTAGGGGAAATATCTCTGGAGAAACGATAGCAGTTGAACGCAATCACAAATGGAATAGCAGACCTTGCTGCAGCATTGCTTTGAGACAAAGGAGACTTCCTCTTGCAAATGGAAGACAAAGCTGGAATCCTTCTACAGTCCTGGTATGGGATATCAGCACCAGCCTGTGCTTCTCATTTGAGGAATCACTTCAAATCACTTCAAAAGTTTAATGCAGAAGAACCTTCCTGGGACTTCTAGGGAAGGAACTGGACTTGGTTATTAATCCCTGGAGACCATCTGTACCAAAAACATGGAGTGCTTGCGGATCTGCAGTGGAAACAGGTACATTTCTTTACCTTTTCCTGTTTTGCAAGCTTTTGTACTGCATGAGATGATGTCAGGAGATTCTCTCTCCAGAACTCTTGCTGTGAAACTGTGTGTTCAGATGTCTTAATGTCCTTAGAGTGAATTTAGAACCCAAGAGCTAGCCTAAGTGTGCAGTTTGAAGATGGTAGATACTCTACTAGTCATTTTAATAACTTATTTTGTAAGCAGTAGTTCAAAATCTAGCCAGATTGTAACTGGGATATAATCCCTTACCCTGCCTTCCCTTCCTCTGTGCTGTTAGCAAGGCTATTTTCCAGACTTCCATGAGAATGTGAATTATCCTAAGCAAGCAGTTCAGACCTGTCTTTTACCTTTGTTCTGAGCAAACTGAAGAGTAATTCTTGTTCTTTTGTCTTACAGGATTCATCTTTCTGGTAGACTGTCCCTCAAGGCACCACCAATGATCAACAAGCTGGAAGGAAGACTGAAAAAGGCAATTGTAGCCTAAAAGGGGATGTTTCCTGAGGATGAAAAGCTGAAAGATAGGGCTGCCTAGGAAAGCTTTAACTAGACTTCTTGTAGAGCAGGCATCCCGTGGCCTGGAAACTCTCAAGAAGGGGCTTGCTGTGATATGGGGTCTTTAAACGGGGAGAGATGAAGTTCGTTGTATAGGCAAGCACTGCAAACAAATATACTTGGTGTAATACAGAGCTTGTTGTATGTTTGTATCTTTATCTGTGTGAGCATAGGAGGCTCAACTTCAAGGCACAAAGCTAGAGTCAAGCCTTGAAGTTGACTTGCTGGTAACCCTTAATCAATTTCTGGTGGATATCAGGAGGAAATCCTGCTCACAGTAACTGAGCTGTTGTGTGACAGCTAAGAGCTTTTGTTTGTCCTACGGCTGGATCCCTGTTGCTCAGTGGAACTAAGCGTTACGCTGGGAGGAGAATAAAAGTTTTCACAAACTAGAGTTGACTCTTGTTTTGCTGGCTAGAAACAGCCCCTACTTCTGTAAGTCATTCTTGGAATAACAATAAAATGTTGTGTATAACACAGGCAGCCAGTGTTTTATTTAAACTCAGTGGAGGAGTTAAGTATCCATGTAACTTCTGACAAGAACAAAGGTGCTCACAGCATATGAAGCCATCCCGACATGGCAGCACTGCCATTATGTCAAATTGCAAGTAGCTGTTGGTTTTTAAGTGAGAAATGTAGCCTAAACTTAGGTTCTTTCTCCTGTGAGAAGTTCCTGACAGCTGACCTTCCTGTGGAAGGGTTGCTTTGAGCATTCTGATGGTATCTGCTCTTGCTTTTCATGAGGTGTGCTGCTCAGCTCTTCAGGTCATACAGAATATCCCACGTACACAGTGCAAGGCAATGACAGTTTTTCATGATAATGGTCAAATATATTCTTAAAGCTGTAATCTCTGTTTAGAGTAAACATAATCTGTGGGATGGTGATAGCGTGGCAAGCAAACCATTTCATGTGGGAGAAATGTGGTGGGGGGGGGTGTTGCAATACAGTGCTTATTCTTAACTGCTGAGGCCAAGGATGTGGTGACTGCTGTGAAGAGCAGTTACAGAACAGCACCTGGATGTGGGAGTGCAGCTGACACTTGCTGTGTTTGCCTAACCACATAAATTGGCCTTTTATGCCCCTGCTGTAAGAGTCAAAATTTAACGATCCTCATTTAATGAGGATTGCAGCTGGCAATACTGTAGAGTACAATTTCTTCCCTTTCCCAAGAGCTTGCAAAGCATTTATTGTGTGACTCTGGAGTGTGAATGAAAGGGCTGTTGCAAAACTTTTCATATCCATGCTAAAACTAGGAATGACTAAATAAATAGGAGATATTACCAGCAAGCAGCAGAAACTTCCTTAAGGAGATCAAGTTGTGCATGTGCAGAAGTACCACAGGGACTGAGTTTGACATGGGGTTGTAGGTGTTTTCTGTTGAGGCACTGGGCTGTCTGTGTTGAGCACCTTCTGCTGGTGCTGCCCTTAGAAGGGGCATGAACAGAATTTTGTTCTGTTTTGTTTTGTTGTTGAAAGCATTTTGTGCTTTCAAAAGCACAACTTATAAAATAAACAGATGCAATAAAGCTGCAGTGTAAAGAGCACAAAATGCGTGCTGTTGGGCAGTGGAATTTCTAAACAGTGGGATGTGAAGAGAAGAGGGCTGCAGACCCTCATGGGTAATTGTTAGGGGCTCTTTGTCACTGCTTTTAAAGGCATATGCTTGCCTGCAGCTTAGTGACAGGTAACTCAATATTTGAGACCAAATTAAAGGCACGAGGGGGAGTTGTTGTTTCAGCTGAATATGTTCTGGGGACTTCTGTGTATTGTATTTCTCAATTCTTTGTGTTCTTTCCTAACACAGGGTTACTGGGTTATTGGGGCAGCTTTTGGGAAAACACCAAATCAAGGATGGTAGAACTGCGAGCGCTGTTTGTAATGTGATTCGTGCAGGCTGCTGAAGCTTTTGCTCTCTGAATGAAGCTGTGGAGTACTTCCATGCTTTCTAGCAGTTTGCATGCATCTTGCAGTCTGGCTGTGGTGTTTTGGTTCATTTGTATATTTAAGGCAGGTCTGGAGGTGGGGCTGTCAGTAAGGAATGCTTCCCAGTCTTGTTCTGGCGTTGGCTTTCTTTGCTGACAAATCCTTAATTTTTCTAGGCCTTTAATTACAGTTCCAGTGTTTGCCATCTGTAAACCGGGAGCAATCATTCTTCCTTGGAATTAGCTGATGTCTGTAGAATGGTCTTAAACATGAAGCGATATTACAGTTTTGTCTCTGGCTGTTTTATGCTTTTCTCCAGGTGGTTGACACGTCCAAAAGTATTGCAGATGTCCCAGAGTGGTTTAAAGGAAGCCGCCTGAACTATGCAGAAAATCTTCTGAAGCACAAGGACAATGACAAAATTGCACTGTATGCAGCAAGTGAGTATGATTTAATGGCTTTCTGGTGTTTATTTGTAACCCGTAGGAGTTATAGGCCTTATAAAGCAGCCCTGCTTTTGATGAAAGCTTGTAATAAACGGGCTTCGGTGAGCAGAAAAGGAAGTAAAGGTGGCAGTTCCACAGAATGTGGGGGGTACAGCTCATCAAAAAATGGGAAGACATGCTCTGGGAACGTTGATAGCTCAGGAAAGTCCTTGGTGAAGTTCTCAATGTTAATTTAGACGTGCTGCAATTTTAGAAAAAGTAGAATTAAATACTAGTGGTTTAAATTATTGGTGGAATTATTAGCAACTCAGTGAATTATTAGTTTGATATATATTTACATTGTCCATAAAGATCTTGTTTCTTGTTAGGAAACGATGGATTTCACTCTGTGCTTTGTGTAACTCAATCATAGGGAATGATACCAAAAGGAGCAAAATTCTTTTCCAACTGAATAGTGTGTCAGTGCCCAAGTAGAGTGAATGCATTTACTTCATTGCGAGGGACAGACTTGCACCTGCACCTCTTTGCATGACCTGCTATATTTAATCTTCTTAAGATCTCTTAAGTCAGAGTATTTTTCATTAACCAATCACTGCTAGGTCAGAGTGGTGCTTAAGGAACCTGTGTCAGGCTCCTGGAATCACTGGGGTCGATCCTGTGGGAGCTCTGTGGGTTTGATAAAGCACAGGAACAGAAGTATAGCTTTCCTAGGCCTTCATTTGTCATGAAGTCAAGATCACAGTCCTCTTCCCCGTTGCTCTACACAAAATCTGTAGATGTGCTGCTCAGTTTATAAACTGCACTCTGTTTCCTTCTGTTCTTCTCCCCAGTACCACCTGCTCTCTTGTTCCATGTAGGACTAAATGTACCTGAACAGAGGTCTAAGAAATCAAGAGATTAAAAGCACTGTTCACTGCTTACGGGAAATAACTGTAGCTGTTCTGCAAAGCCCTGCTGGACCACAGCACACAGTGCATTTCTGTTGCTATGCTCTTGATCTGTGTTGTCGTGAGAAATGCTTGATACTGGAAACAGGATGGGCCAAATGGTTTACAGAAGCCAAGCTAAAGAATTACAGGGCTTTATGACAAGCTTTGCTTTTCCTAACATTTAACTTGTTCGTTTTGTTTCATGAGTGATTTATTAACCGCTTACGTGCATCTGACATTCAGTATAGGAATAAAAATTTCCTGCAGACCTTCTCAGAGGTGAATGGAGTCCAGTTTAGTTTATTTGCTTTGTGGTATATTGGCAAACACAGATACTCCAAGAAAAACATATTGGAAGTCCTGTGATTTTTCTCATCAGCAATCTGGCATAATAAAACAGAATTAACCCCTTATAACCTCTTTCTAGACCTCATGAGAAAGTGGAGCAAGTAGGGAGAATGAGGCTGTTCTTTCCATGTTAGAAAGCAGCCTTGGTAGGTGCACTCTGCTTTGAATGCTCTTTGAGAATACGCCTCTCTGGTGAACAGCTTGCATTTTCAGATGGACGTTCCAATTTTTAAGAAAGTTTCTCACGTCTGATGAGTGAATATGACTTAATGCTGGGTTCCCATCAAAACAAAAGGCAAAGGAAGAACTTGAAAACCCGGAAGAGCAGATATTAGTGGAAACTGGTTTCCTAAAATTGCTTCATATTCTTTTAATTCCATAATTAGTTGCTTGCTACTGACTCCAGGTTGTAGTGTGTGTTTTGTGACTGGTTGTTTTAATAAATCTTTCCTCAGAGGAAGGCAAGGAAGAAATTTTGAAAGTGACTTTCGAAGAACTGAGACAAGCCGTAGCTCTGTATGCTGCAGCCATGAGAAAGATGGGAGTAAAAATAGGAGACAGAGTTGTGGGTAAGTATTTTTTTTTTAAAGGAGAGGAGGTAAAATTTTTTTGACGTAGCAGATGAGCAGAGTTATAAACACTTGATTATGAATTTCTATTTCACAGAAGCAGTCTAAATGTAGGAGTAAAAGAACTGTTTCCTTAATTTTGTATGTCATGCCTCTAGAGAGAAGGAACTTGGATTAGCCTGGAAGTTAAGTGCTGTAGAGGGAAGGGGAATACCTCATTCATGGCTTTCTTAAGGTCTGCTTCATAAGTGCTCCATAGAAGCAAAAGTGCTGGAGGCTGCATCTAGCTGAGCTTTGACTCACCGGGTTCAGCAAAGTCACACTGGGACTGTCCTGGAAATTAGGATGGCAGGTTGTGTGCTGTGGTGCCAGCTGGCAATTACAGTGCCTACAGCCCCAGGTAATGCACTGCATTGTGAGCTGCAGTTCTTGAGGAACAGATGTGTACTACTTTGTGCCATCAGTGCTTTTGGGAGTAGGGACTTCCACCAGAATGGTGGTAGTGAATAAGCTGATGAGCAGTAGCTTGTCATGTCATCCCAGTGCCAGGCTTAGCAGTTGGAGCCCTGGCTTGATTTCAGTTACTCATTATGTTTTCTGGAGTAATCTAAGATTCTCAGTCCTAAGACTCACGCACATTTTTCCATACAAATGTCTTTTTCTTATGACCAGCTTGTACAGTATGCAGTCATTACTGAAGCTGGCCTAAGTTCATTTGCTTTTAATTGTTGTTTTTGATCTGCAGTTGATCTGCTCCATGTATACACTTTGCATACTCTCTAACATACTCTGTGGTTCTGTCAGTCAAACCTGCAGTATCCTTGAAGCTCCCTGACGCCTACCTGGTATTTGTGTGTTCTTATCCATCTAGCTGCTGGAATCACACGTTGTTTGAGCAACACTTGGCAGCTGTCCTAAGTCTTTGTAAATTCATGTATGGTGCAAACCCAAAGTGATGAAACGACTTGGTTTGTTTTGTTGCATTTTATAAACCTGAACCTGAGCTCACGTCCCCAAAACCAGAAGGGTATGCATTATGATCTTTTATTGCACCCATAAATATGATTTACAAATGTGGCTGTAAAATACACTCAAGGTATCTCATGCTTTATGTATGTTATGAATATTCTACAGAGCTTATAACTGAGCATTTAATTATCACAGCTATGGGCTTGCTGTTTTACATAGAATCAAGTCCTTAATCTAGTACAAACCATCCACCAAAGTCAGGAAGATCTGCCTGAATGAAGAATTTAATATCTAATTTCGTTTCCATTTCAATTTTAACATAATCATATTTGTATCTGACATCTTGTTGAGGAGCAATGGCCTCTGTGTGAAACCATGTGAGCCAATAGAACTTAAGCTCTTCTAATATACAGGAGAAGTATTCTCTGTAGCTGGGGAAGAGAAAATGTGCTATTTAAATGTAATTGTAGTCAACATTATTAGCATGATTATTACCACTATTATCATAACTTCAACAACAATTTCTTCTAGCTAATGAGTGTATTTTGCTTAGCACAGCGGGAGGCTGGCTGACTTCTGAATCTTATTTGTTTTGGCAGTTGGCTCACCTCTGCTTATTTTAATCAAAAGGAATCACTGATGTGCTTGCGGAAGGTAGCAATTCCAAGTTTCTCTTGACAATTTGTCATTAATGTCAATGCTTCCTTGCACATAAAAGGTAGGACTTAACTGTATGCTTCAGCATCCTGTTCTCGGAGGAGAAAACGTGTGTTGACTCCAATGGGAAGCCTGGACTTCTAGTAGAGGAGGTGCAAAATGCAGTAGGATTGCAGTTATTAAAACAAAGAACAAAGAAAAGCAAGCATGCATTGAAAACTCAGTGAAAAATTGAAGTTGTGTGATGTATTCTGACTCGACTCTTTTAAGCCTTGTAATCTATTAGCATGTTTGAATTACTATAGGAAGCTCTACTTTCGCAAATGTTACGTTGCTATGAAATTTCTTATAAATTACTCTTGTGCTCTTCCTGACAATCTAAAATGGATGGGGGGAGGCAGGTTGGCTCACTTGTAAAGGTTGTGCTGCTTCTGTCCACTTCCTGCTGTCAGAGCGAATGTACCTACAAGATTGTGATGTGAACTGCTTTCAGACTTCTTCCTAAATAGCAGCTGCTAGGATTTCCTTGTGAAGTGATGGTTTTACCTTTTCTCTTTTTTAGCCTTGCCTTTTGATTGCTCCTTTAAGAACAGGGTTTATCAAAATGCCTTCATTTTATATGAAACTTGTGATGTCTTGTATTCTAATTTTTTCCCTGACCTCCCCCTTTACTCTGGCTGCTGAGAGACATTTTTCCTCACCAATCTCCAGTCAGATGAACTCATACCAACTCCAAACACTCAGTCTGCTGCACAGTTCCCCCTCTCTCTCTGTCCCTGGTACCCAAGACTCCCGACTGACAGATTGCATTGCCTTGGATGATGGCCCCTCTCTAGGGAGAGCTTCAACCTGGAAGAAATCTGGCGGGGATTTTAACAGCAATTGAGCTACACACACACACACACACACACACACACACACACACACACATATATATTAAATTGGGTCTCAGCTTTGTTCATATGTGTCTCTCCTATGCCAGAGGATACTGGCAGTCCTTGGGAGAGTTGAAATGCGACTTCACAGTTGGAGGCTGAATCTACTGGCTGTTTTCCAAACCCCAAATTGACATGGGAGAGAGAGAAGTGTTGGGTGGGAAGGCTTCAGTCCTGCAGCCCCTTGTGGTATCAAAGATGAGGCTCTCCAGTGTTTGCCAAAAGCTACAGGGGCCTGATTTCTGATTTCTTCCAAAATTTGTAGCGTATGACGTAAAGTGTGACTCTTCACATAGCTTATGGAAGTATAATAAGGGGCATGCTTTCACTGCTTCTGGAAAATCAGCTTTTAAATGGAAGGGACATATTCTACTAATTTTATTTCAGTTGTGTAACTCCTACTCAGCCTGTCAAGTTCTGATGCCCTTTGTTGCCGTTTTCTCATGAAGTTACTTGAAGTCTTGAGCAGTTTGGATCACACAGGACCATTATAGCTACTTTTTTTCTTGTGAATTTAATTTCCATTCTTCGCCATCTCTAAGATAAGACTAGTTTAACTTTCCATTACTTAACATATCCACTAGTTTGATCAGTACGGTTAATGGTTGCATCATGACAGCAATAGTCAATTTAAGTCGGAGATGGGTGAGTGTGGGTGGACAGGCAGCAATGTCAGCACTTTCATCAGTTTGATTTCTTCTTAGTCTTCCATTTCTATCACTAAGGAGATGGCACTTAATAGTAAACGCAATTGAAACAGAAGCATAGTGAAACATCTCTTTTCAAAAGATGCATTGCAATATCGTCCATGATGTCTGAACAGCTGGAGGAGACAGGTACAAACAGCTAATCCAAGTCACACAGATCCAAATGGGGAGTGCTTGTGGTCTCCCACTGGCCATCTGTTTGGCAAGTAGCAACGACTGCGGAGCGAGTCAAATGAAACTGGAAGTATCTGTGCTATGGGTCTACAGATACTCTGCTGCTGTTATCCCATAGCCAGCTTTGTCCTCTTACAAGTCAGCTGTGCAACAAACTAATCTTCCCCGTGTGTTCACACAAAAATCCTTAACAAAACATCAATGAGTTACATTGTTTAAAGCTGGTAATTTATCTATAGTAACTGCATTAGCCCTGTTGCTTACGTGGGTTTTAAAGCTAGCTTTGTAAGAAGATTAGCGTGTTACTAATAGTCTCAGGCCACAGTAATGCTAGGTGGGATGACCCTTTCAAAATCCAACAGGAGTACAAAATCTTATGTTAATGTCAGGAAGAGAAGCTGAGAGGCTGGTCTTTGAATTGACTTTCTTTGTGAGCTAATGTAGATAAGTAGCATGAGACATGGAGAGTGTTTACTTGCAGCTCCTGACGTCCTCCCAGTGTGTTCTCCTAAGGCTTGTGGTACATCTTTGGTGCCAGGTCTGTGCTTTTTTCATCCAGACAGCTAGAAACGTTTGGATGCTGTGCAGCTGAGTGCACGCTCTGCTCTGAGCCACTGGGTGCCTTCAGGGGAGTCGTTCACAGCACTCACAGGAAATCGAGACTTTTGCCAACATGACTGTGCAAGGAATTTTTGGACCAGAGATGTCACCTATTTTGCTGATAAAATACTGTGATGTAAATGAACAGGTAAATCTAACCTCAGCATATGCTAGGTTGAGTAAGTAGTGATGAACAGCAAATGCTGTCCAGAACGGATGGGGCTGTAAGTGCCTCTTAAAGTGATCCATACAGTATACCCAAGAGATCACTTGTCCTACTTAGTGGAGGCTTTTGTCACTTTCTCCTGGAAGGTTTTATTTCATTTGTTCTAAAAAATGTTGTGTGTACTTATGGGGGAGGAGTGCTGCTGCTAGGATCCCTGCTACTACAAACTCAGTCCCTGGTTGCTGTGAGTTCCCAGCTTCTGTGTTTTGTGCCCTTAATTCAGTTGCTTTCTTGATCACCCAAAGGAAAATCCTCCTTTCCAGTAACAGACCATCAGTTCTGCCCCTTCTTAAGGATTTGGTTGCTACCTCAAGGGCCATAACCAAATGCAGGGAGTTTGTCATGCATGATGCTTGCTATAACTGGTTCGCAGGATCTTTGTGAGAAAGGAAGAAATCACTTTTTATTTCTGAGAATCCAGTTTTAATCTGAAAGATTGAGGGGAGATGCAGTTTGTGTCACTTAAATTTGGGAGCCATTGAGAGATGAGAAGGGTGAGTTTTTATAGTGCTGTGTTGGGAGAATCTCTTTCCAGAACAGAACTACATCTTTACTCATAGTTGTTGGTGTTGGGCATTGTGACAGATTGGTGAAATTCCTGCTCACCAGGCTGCCTGCCTACACTGATCAGATAAAGGTGGAGGAATGCAGAGTAAGTTGCTTTACACGCTTTGTACCTTTTGGCAGTTTTAGCTGATTTGCTCAAACACCATTTCAAAGCCATCTGACAGATGGGAGTAATGATTGAATTGTCTGGCTCACAACAACGTGCAGAGATTTGTGTACTTGCCCTGTGGGCTTTTCAGAGTGAAGAGAACTTGCCTGTAGTAAGTGATGCTCCTAAGCTCTGGCAAGGTAATCAAACAGCTCTGAAGCCTGAAGAGACATCTTTTGCTTACCTGTGGGCCGTACTACTGCAAAACACCCTCCAAAAAAAGGCTCAGTGGAATTACTTTTCATCTATTAAAAATAAATGCTTCCATCAGGCAGTCGGTGGTTTAAAATGGCTCATACACTTCAAATTACTATTATAGGATGGAGATTTATCTGAAAAGAAAAAAAATCCAATCTTGGGATGCTGTACTTTATGTTGTAAACTTGTGACCCTAACGAAGAGATAGCAAAATAGATATGGCTTTATGGTCTTGAGGTTTTGCTGCACGTTATGTACATAAGAGCTTCCCTGAACAAAGCATTAGAAGGTGTACATGTTTCTAGGGAGTAATTTGCATTTTAATGATATGAGGTTTTCATTCAGCTGTTTTCTTTTAAATAAGCCGTTGAGCCCAAATCATAACACTGTTTTCCAAGTTGCTGCTCCCAGAAGCACAGCAGCTCACTGAATTGTCAAGCTGGTCTGACTGATTTCAAGGTTTTGAATCACAGCAAAGAAAATTCTGATCTAATACTTTAAAATTTAGGGTAGATTTTCAAGCTGAGTAGACAAATGGACAGGAATGAAGCTCACACCCTCCTGATGAAGTTAAAACATGTTAAACTGTTGTTAAGATGTATGATTTAGTTCCTGTCCTGAAAAATATCTCCGTAAACTTCCATGGATGTCTTTCACTGAGAAGTGCCTGGCCCTGCTGGGTTTCTGCTGCCTGGCAGATGCTTCAGCAGTGCTTCAGCAGTGCTTCAACTTGCCCCGAAGTCCAAGATCTCCCTGTTCTCGACACCTTTGTAGAAATGGCTTGGAAAGCATTTTGAAGGCCATTTGAGTTTGCTTTCAAACACCGAATTCTAATTAGATGTCCAAATAATTAGGCCTGTCATTTGCCTCTTTAAAGTACTTGGACATCTTTCAGTTGCTTAAAAAGGATTATCTGAAACTGCAGATCTTTGATCTGTGTTAGGGTGGTTTCAGTGTGAATTTCAGCTGCATGCTGTTGATCTGGGGGTTGGACTCTGATCAGTTGAGCCAGTCTCAGTGCCACGGCAGGCTTTGTGGAGGGCTGCTCCAGTTGAGCCCATTGGAAGTCTAACTTGACTTTCATTTCTTCTGTGTGCTTTAATAAAGTGACTTGAAATCTTGAAGGCTTGCTGCAAGTCAGCAGTAAAGCTGAGGATTTACATTTGTGTTGGAATGTTCCAGGGCTCGTCCCACCATGTTCCCTTATCAGCTCACACTCAGGTTTTGCTTGTTTCCATTTAAGATTCTGGTAGTCTCTACCGGACAAAGCTCAGCTGTGTGTGAAGCTGATTTTTCTGCTTTTGATCATAAATGTACTTCAAATGCAAAGGAAAAACTTGAAGAGAACACTGGCCACCCTCGTGCTTCGTGTCCCTTTATGGAAGATGCACTGTATGTATTGAATCACCCGTTGATTACAATTAGAATAAAGTCAGGAATAGAAGTCTCTTGATCTGCTAACAATGTTCTTTGCCATTTGTGCCAAGCAAAGGAAAGGAATATGTCTTTCTATAGGCAACTTAAATGGCTGGGAACAGAAATCTGTGACGTTACCTGTTTGCATAAGAGTACCTTACAAGACCAGCAGCCAAATTCCTTGTACTCTGAGAGCCCTGCCTTTCTAAGCACTGCTGAGGATTCAGCTATCCTTCCTGGTGTTTGTTTTTCCCAACAGCTCTGTTTCTAACACCCTGACCTGCAATGGTGCTATACTCCGTGCAGAGTTTCTATGTAACACACTTAGTCCATACATTTATTTTCTCTTAGTTCCTCTCTTCAATATGCTACCCTCTTGTCCTGGAAGCCTCATTAATTGAGTAGAAACCTTTGTAAATTGGAAATAATTCTGTAGTTATAAAATTTGATGTAACTTTTTATAAATGGCACTCTAGTGACACAAGAATGAACTGCATGGACTTTGAAGGAGGACGGTATGACCGTGTGGCAAACTTACAGAGTTGAAGGATACTTCAGACTACAACTTTCATTTTTTTTCTGTGCCAACTGGTTATTATACACATATTTCCTGTAAGCTTTGGTAGTTTTGGTTCCATCTCTAACCCTTCAAATTCCACCACAGGTTACTTACCAAACAGCATTCATGCAGTAGAGGCGATGCTGGCTGCGGCGAGTATTGGTGCTATCTGGAGTTCAACATCACCAGACTTTGGCATTAACGTGAGTAGCCCTATTGTGCATTTCAGGAAAGCTGTCATTGTTTTTGACAGCCGTGAGGAGGACAAATTAGTGGCAGATGGATTCTGTTCACTTTAATCTTACTGCCACCTTGTGGCACACTGGATTCTCTTTTTCTAGCAGCTACAAACTGAGCAAAAGCCCCGTGTTTTCAGATGTCAGTAAGGATTTGCAGCCCAGCAGTTTGAGCATCTTCAACAAACTCAATGCTGGGAGACTCTCAGACAATCCATAATCTTGGTGAGCTTTTGTTGCATCTTGTCAACTCGTTTTCTCAAGGCCCTGAAGAATGAGTACTGGGTGTGACAAGTGTATGTGGAGCGACTTTGTAGCTTCTGAATAAAAACTGAACAGGAAAAATAGAGGAAAAAAAGGCTAAAAGAAATCATGATACCCAGACATTACAGCATACTCTGGAAGATTTGGGTATACTTTCTGCTTTATTTGGATAGCCCTTAGCACATCATAAACAGTAACAAACTGCTTTTAAAATAGAGTCGTGAATCTTTCTTCTGTTTTAATAGTTTGAATTAAAGCAATTGGAAAATACACTGTACTTTGCAGAATGCAGGAACTACCAGAGTTCTTAGGCAGTGTATGCCCCTCAATCTCACTTCATGGTCCCAGTAGCTGGTTGTGTGTATGGAGCTGCTGGCTGTGGGTTAGCACTAGAGGGCAGCAGCATTCCATTGGTTTGTAGTTGAGGTTCTGACATTGGGAAAGAAAAATGATTTAAAAAAAAAAATAATCATTGCAGCATGTAATGATCAATCTGTTCTACAGATATTTTCTGCTTGCGTAGAAAATGACAGTATGGAGTATTTTCTTTATGGTGTGATTTCATCTCTCATCTGGGGAGAGGTTGTTCATCTTGTTTGTGTTACAGAGTCCTGGTATGCTTTTTGTCCATGCTGATGTGCTGTTATTTTCAGCACCCAGCTTTGTTTTGTTTTTGTGATAGGTTTTTCTAATGAAACTTAGCTGTGGAGCAGCATTGCTATCAGTATCACTTATCCTCCTTTGGCTTGGCAGCATGTGTTGGCTTGAATTCAAACCCTAAAATCTCAACAGATCAGGAGAGCTCCTCAGGGAGATTGACTCCTACCCGAAGGAGTAAGTGTTCCTCCTGTGCACTTGCATTAGTCTCATTAACATAAATTAAGATTTTTTTGTGTTTGGGGAAATAGCGTCACATTTTCGACGTTCCAAACCGATTGTGTATATATGTTTTCTGAATTCTAGAACTGTCTCTTTTCAGAGCTGCCTACACATTGCAAGCTCTGAATGCTATACATCCAAAGACTGTAAGCATTCAGGAAATGTGCTGTCAGGGGACCAGTGAGTTTCCTCCCACACAGAATACTGCCCTTGGCAGCTTGAGCTTCGTTTCTCTTGTCCCTGCTATTCATTTAAGTGCATTAACAAGAAGGTGCTTCTTTTTGGCCCGTGTATGTAAGAAATTAATGGATATGTAAGTTTAGAAAGAGGATCTGCTCTTAGAAATGCGTGAGGAGCCTTTGGTAAGGCTTAGCAAAGGGCTTAATTCGTGGGGTCCTTCACAATACATAGCGCAGGGCTTGAGGCCTATCAACTAGAAGGAGCTGAATTTGGTGTACCTGGGCTTTTCATGAAAGCAATTCCTTGCTGAGCCATCTGGTTGGATTAAAGTTCCAGTGTAGCAATTACACGTTCCATCTGTTTGTGTTCCCTTTGTATCACACCAAACTGCCCTGTGGGATTTGATCCTGCCGGTGCTAATGAGTGTGATTGGGTATGTTAGCAGGATTAGCAAGACCCTGAGAGTTGTTGTCACCTCTGTTTCTGATCCACACTTGGCTTCGGATTTCATTCCTCTGCTAGAGTACCTTTAGCCTCTGGTTTTTAAACAGGCAGTGTGGATTTGGGGTGCATATCTGTGTTCAGCATGTGTGTCTATCACACAGACATGCACACTGTGTGCGTTGATCGGTCAGCTCTTCAGAATTGTTGCAGAGGAGTGAGCATGCTGACATCCCTAAGACAGATGGAAGTTTGATTCCGTACTCCCTTGGAGATTAATGTGCTAATGCTTTATTAAAAACCTGTTCTGTTGGTGAACCTGGGGATTTTTTAAAGCTAATTGATATAGTTAGATGTCAGTGCATTGTCACCATGTGTGTATGTGTGTATTTAGGAAAAGGAAATGCACCTTCATGCTTTTCTGCATAGTAGAAAGCATTTTCTTTCAAGTGGTTGAGGAAGAAGTGTGTTAAAGTGGCATTCAGCTGTCAGCTGCTATTCATCTTTAATGGTACCCCTGTACCTCACGTGTGCTGTTCAGAGAGCTTTCCTAACAACGTGGGGATCAGCTGTGCTCAGAGCTCCATACTTCTGCAGTAGGCTTCTTATTTGTTATTATTTCATTGCAACCCTGACTCACCCAGCTTGGAAAGGAGTTCAATGCAGATGACTTGATGGATGTTGGAGACATGAAATAGGTTGTTAGAATTGTGTTATACTTGAAAATCTTGGGATGAGTGAAGGACAGGGACAAGCAGCCTTTTCATGATTCTGCAAAGTCCTACCCTTGCACCTGACTTGAAACAACACTTGAATTTAACATTGAGTGGATTTTGGTTTGTAATTCATTTTTAACTTGTTTTTCTCCTTGTCCCTAGGGTGTGCTGGACAGATTTTCTCAAATTCAGCCTAAGCTCATCTTCTCTGTTGAAGCTGTTGTGTATAATGGCAAAGAACATAACCACTTGGAAAAGCTGCTTAGTGTGGTAAAAGGTATTTCACTGCATACCATGCATCTTATACCATAACTGCGTCTCCACTGTCACTAAAAATGACACCTTTGGCTGCTTGTTGCTGTCCTTGCTCCCTTACAAAGTCTTTTTGGCCACTTACAGTTGCAGAGCTGATATGAGGGGAAACTTTCTTTTTTTGTTTTGCAGGATTTTAACATAGTCTTTTGCTAGCTTAGTTTAAATCTGTTGATAGCTCTATCAGCATGCATTAGCTGGCAGTCTGAGTGGGGGAACAGGAGCTGTTAATGCTGCTTTTTTATGCCTATGTAAAGTGCTGCTGAAAACAACTGAAAAGGTTTTACAGCACTAAAACTTGATTTTTACATGTAAGTCTTTATTTTAAAGGCTGGCAATAATTGTAGTTAACAGATTTTTGGGGGAGTTTTTTTAATGTCTAAAACTATATCAATGCTCTGTGCATCAGAATTATTTCAGCAATAGGAAATTAGACTGTGATGCAAATGGATTTCAAAGACTTATATAACTGAATGTGGTCAATATTTTCTTTCTTCCTTCCAGGGCTTCCAGATTTAAAAAAAGTGGTGGTGATCCCTTATGTCTCCTCAAGAGAAACTATAGATATCTCTAAGATTCCAAACAGGTAATGGGAGCTTTTGAGCTGTGAATCTCTGAGCTAGGGATGAATACTGCTATCTCTTGAAAATGTATGACCTTTTCAACTTGTGAAAGCTAGGATTTAGCCAGATTTCTTGAGGTGGGTCCATACTGAAATAGGTATTACGCTTCTATAGATGTGTTGCTTCTACTAACCACCTGTTGGTATTAATAGTTCTCAGATGAAGGCTCATGATCTTTCCCTTCCAAATCAAAAATGTATCATGGGATGGAAGCACAGGGGGAAAAAAAAAGATCTGGATTTTTCCATTCTTTCTTTCCCTTGTTTTCTCTGTTAGTTCTTCTATCTTCAGGGAATGCAGGGAGGCATTCAATTTGGAACACAGTCCCCATGCTAAAGGTGATCAAGGCTTGAACTGCATTGCACTCAGCGTGTGAAGGAGGTTGGCTGGGCAGCAGTTTCTGCCTCTCTGTGTGCCATCTCAAACTGCTTTGGTCAGGGGATGCCTTTTCTTGGCTTTGTCATGATGGTAGGCAGAATATCCTGATAATACCCACACTGTAATGTGTTTTGTGGTCTACACATAACCTTGTTCTTTTTTTTGTTTGTTTTTTTTTAAGCAAAACACTAATTAACACACAGACACTCATTTCCAGAGCTGTTAGCAATTTAAACAGAATAACAGCTAAAACTTAAAAAGTATGTACAGTTTGTGTGTATAGTTGATAGTAAAAGAGCTACCAGGTATAGAGCTAATCTTACATATGAGTTGGGGTAATGCTTTAAAAAACAAACAAAACATTGAGATGTTCCCTTTCTTCCCTCTTATGCAGTGTCTTTTTAGAAGACTTCCTTGCTACTGGGAAAGGAGACCAGGCACCCCAGCTGGAGTTTGAACAGCTGCCTTTCAGTCATCCTCTCTTTATCATGTATTCATCAGGCACAACTGGGGCACCAAAATGCATGGTGCATTCAGCAGGGGTATGTCTTCCCTATGGAACTATGCTATCTGTATATGACTCCCTGTGTTGTGGTTTTTTTTTCCTTTAACAGCATCTTAAATCTTAACATACTTCAAGGAGGAATTGATTTCTGACAGTAATCAATTTCTCAGTAACCCACTATTAAACTTTCAAATTTATTGTTGACTGATTGAAAGCAAATATGGACTAATGAGGAAACAAAATAATTTGATTGCTATGGAGACCTTTCAGAGATGTCAGCTGTTGGGAATGTGTATGTGTCACAAAGCTGGTAGAAGTGGCCCAGTTGATGCTTGCAGCAGCAAGCTGAAAGAACTTGAATGGCTGCTTGGAACCAATTTTTGGACACTGTCAAATTTGAGACTCACGGGGAGTTTGCACTTTATCATCTCAGTTTTTTCAGTGATCTTAAGTTTTTGTCAGTTCAGAGCACGTTAAAACTTTCTCTGCTATTGGTGTAGCCCTTCATTAAAGGCAGGGATTTTTTCTACTTGTAAGGCAGGCAGAAGGTGCTGTCTAGAACCCTCTTGCCAACTTGTGGTAGTTAAGCTGTGTAACTATTAGCTGCTGTCCTTTGCTTCTGCTAGTTGCTCTGAAAGTCATGGTGAGCATCTTGCAAGACTACCTGTAGAGTCATTCAAACAGCCCTAAGGCTGGGTTGCTTTATGCACTTTGTGTGTTACTGCTTCCCTGTGATACCAAGGGCTGAAATGTTTGCCCACAAACAAATTCCACACTGCCTGCAACATTCTGCTTTGCTACAGTAGTAATAGGAGATCATACCAGGCAGTGTGAGACATGTGAAATGGTCCCTCTGGGACACGTCCTATGTTTGGAGAAAGAAGGAAATGCATTTTGAAGTCTGACAGCTGTTTGGAAGCTGTGCTGGCTTCAGCCTGGTTAAATACTTGCAGAAATGAATTAGCAGGAGCAGGGCAGGTGTTTTGTTCAGTGATGCATGATAAGCAGTTGGGAGATGAAAAACACAGATGTGGATTAGCCAACAGGATTCCTCTCTGTTGAGGAGTTTTCTCCTCCTGTTTTATCCACGTGGCCACTTTGCTCACTCTCAGTTTTGCCCCTGCTCCTCATCCCAATGATGTTTTCAGTTAATGCTGCCTGAATGTTGAACAAAACGCTGTGACTCAGGACCAGCAGCCACAAGATGCTGCTCTCTGCACTGCCTCACTTCTTGGCACTGATCCTTATGTGCTGATGATGCGACTCAGGAGCCTCAGTGCCCCTGGCTGATCTTTGACACTCCAGATGCTCAGCACTGCATTAGCTGCATGTTAAGCATAGTGAAGGCACCCAGACCAGTGGGTTTTTATCAGCTGCCAGCTATGTCCTGTAATGCTAAATGCTTAAGATGTATTTTGAGTGTCCTACTAGTGCTGTAAGGAAGTGGAAGTGAAGCAAGTTGAATAAATGAGCATGAGAATGAACACTGCATGTTAGGCTGCAAGCTTCTGAACTTTATTGCACTCTCCCAGAGTACGCTTATTTTTTTTATCAGAGTTACAAGTTTGTTTTCCTTGGGGAACTGTTCATGGCCTGTGCCTAAAGTCATTGTTAGATTAAAAACGCACCTTTGTGTTGGCTCCAGAGTTGTGAAAAAGTAATAAGTAAATGAAAGGAAAGCAAAATGTTATTTTAATTGAATTTGGTTTTCAGTTTCACTACTTGGTGTGGCTCTTCCAGAGTGCATACTTTTGTATATGGGATATTTATGTTAACACCTGGATTTCTTCTGGCAAAGCTGAGAAGTTATTCATAACATTTCTACATCCGAAATACAAGCATTTTAAATGTAGATAACAGTAGTGTATAGCTAGATGGCAGCATAGTGACAGCTTTGTATATTCAAGCAGTAGCAGGTGAATTTGGACCTCATACCAGAGAGAAAATCAGATTTACTCCTTTAGTTTTATTTGATGTTTTCTACCTTTTCTCCCAAAGTGTGTGCTGTTCTCATGACTTTTTCATTTCAAATGTTTATCTGTAATCTCTTTTCTTTTAGCATAAATTTTGTTGCATGGCCATGAGGCTACAACTCATTGCATCAATGGAAAAAAAAAAAATGCAAACCCCACTTTATTTTAAAATCAGGCATGTTGTGTCACTGCAGTGGAGTGACTCAGTGAAGTAGTTTGTAAACTTCCTTGGCTTAACATATTACATGTTAATGATTAGGAAAGTATAGCTGGATCTCAAACAGAAGTGAAAAGAAGATATTTCACTGCTCCACTGTTAATGCTGATGCTTTGAACAGTGAGATTTTTCCACATTGCTAGTTAGTTCAATATTTACAAGCTATATGTATGGTTATGTCTTTTGTTTCTTGAGAGTTAATAGGAAAATTGATTTGTATGAATAATAAATGGTAGCTGCTACAGTTCACAGCAGCTGTAGGTCCCTCCAACCTGTCTAGATGTACTGAGGATAAAATCCTCCTGCTTACCTACCTGGCAAATCTGATTGGTGAAGCCATACTGTGAAAATTATAGCCTGCATGGAGTATTCTGCAACTCTGATGGCTGAATAGAGCTGGAAGGGAAGAAAGCTGTTTACTCCACAAAATTACAAGTGATGTGCAGTGGGAATTGCTGAGGTCTAATGAGAAAGTCTGAAAAGTTACGTGAGAAAATGGAGAATGCAATTGCTGCTGCTGCTTTAGATAGGCCCTGGGATTTACTTCAGTTGTGGTTGGGAGGAAATGTTTGTCGGTAATCCTGGAGTGCATCCTGACAAATTAGTTTTTGGAAGACTGAGTACTGCCAGTTTTTTTCTATGTAAACTTAATTTTTTACTTCACTTTTTTTTTTTCAGGGTACATTAATACAGCACCTGAAGGAACACATTCTTCATGGCAACATGACCAGCAGTGACATCATTATGTACTACACAACGGCAAGTGTGGCTCACTGAGGCACTTCTAAAAAGCCTTTAATGCATTTTCCTTACAAGTCTGAGAGTTTTTCCCACAAATCTACAAGTTCACTTTTATGTACTTTTAGTTCTTGCTCTGTAAAGAGCCGTCCTGTTTAACTGGGCTTTACATAAATATATAAATAAAATATTAGGTGAAAAGTTTGACCTTTCTGATGAACGTCACGTTAAATGTTTCTGATCTAATTAGTGAGGAAAACTAATTTATTTTTACAGCCTGTTAGGGTCATTGATCTAACCTCCTCATCAATTTAATCTGCAAAACAGACTCTACCTTCCTTCTTCATGTAATTGACCGTACTGAAGAAGAGAATTTTTTGTTGTTCTGTTTTGATGGAGAAGGAAACATTTGCACATCTGAGTTCAGTAGAGGGAAGGAGTAAAGCTGAGTGACCTTTGGAGGACTTCAGCTGTGTTTTCTTTAACGTTGTTGTAGTGAAGAAAATGATTCTGCAGTCTTCTCTAACAGTGTGAGAAGGCTCATGTCTCTCCTCGTGTTCCTTTCTAAACTTTGACACCACTAATTGGTCTGCAGTACTTCTGCAGGGGAACTGTAATTACCTTGTCCTAATGTTGTTCCGTATTGTGACTCGTGCTTTAAAGCTGTATGTATAGGGAGATGTGGGATCCTATCTCAATAGGTACTTATGAGGATACGTTATGAGCGTTCATCAGTAATGGGTGCCTGATCCAGTCTTGGGACAGGTGAGAGGAGAATCAGTGCTCCAGCCTTGTTTTCTGATTTCTAAACTGTGTGATTGGGGATAATGAGCAGGGAGATATAAACTCACGTGCTGGTTTAAGTTTCAAACCTTTGGATGAGGAAAATGGAGGGGTAGATGGCGTATCTTGCACAAGGGCAAGAGGCATGCTTTGTGCCAGCTGACTGTGCAAAAAGTCATGATTTCTCTAGTTGCCTTTGGCTCCTCTATAGCTGTATGACAGCAATACTCCTGGGCCTGTGGTAGAGCTGCCAGTAAAGTGGACAAGTAGCTGACAAAGATAGAAAGTAATTTTGATATTTTCTCTGTTCTAGACTGGCTGGATGATGTGGAACTGGTTGGTGACGGCGCTTGCTACTGGAGCTTCAGTGGTTTTGTATGATGGATCTCCTCTAGTCCCATCACCAAATGTGCTCTGGGACTTGATTGACCGACTAGGGTAGGTAACAAATCTTAAGTCAAATGGTCTTCTGTTAAAATGCTCACGTGAAACCAACCCCATTAAGGATGCTTTCTTGGTCAAAAGCTTGTATGTGGGGTGACACAGTTTTGACTTGATGTTGAGTAGAACAGATTCTTTAAATTTCACACTATAAACAGTCTTTGAAAGCAGAAGAGACAAAGTTTGATCATTTAAAAATGGATTCAGGCATTTGGGTTCCCAGCAAACAAAGAATTTTGGTTCAGTAGTCAGTTTTCAAGAGCAGCCTTTTCAAAATGTAGTAATTGGGAGCAATCTGAAGAGAAATGTCTCAGAACACTCCGAACTTTTAAGAATCTTTTGTTTCAAGCAGCTCAATGTATGACTCAATATAACATGTTTACTTCAAGACAGAAGTTTACTGGAAAGGCTCAGCAGGGCTACTTATATTTCCACATTTTGCTTTTTAATTTATAGTGCTGAATTCTTAGCCATTTTCTGGGTGTTTTACAAAGTTCTTTGTACCTAGCAGTGCTCAAAGTGCCCTCTGTCCAATCCCAGGAAAATGATCAGGTGAACAACTGAAATCCCGTGGTGCTATTTAGCTGCTGAGTGCACTGGTTAAACTTTGATTTTTGCTATTCACCCATTTTTTCAAACTGTAAGGAGTGTAGATCTGAGTGCTGTTACTTTATAGTAAAATGGGCGTAATTTTTTTGTTGGTAATTAAAATTAATTTGTTGCAGAAGGTGGATGCCAAAAGCCTGACTTTCTGACTCTCGATCATTAATAATTTAAACGTTGTTCTGTCTTTTGTGCCATGTAATATTTAAAGACTGTCATTTAGTCTCTGGGTATTATAACTGAAAGTTAATATCTTGTTAGAATGCTTCCATTTGGGGAAAAAAAACCAAACAAACACAACTTTCCTCCCCTACCCACAAACCCCCTAAAAAACACTGGAACAGGCAGAAATGTAGACCCAAGAAATAAGATGGCTTATTTTTAAGCATTGTTTCTACATGCCAAAAAGTAAGTGAAGATATCTCAAATGTGTCTGCATGTCTCACTTTTGTAATCTGGTGCTAAAAGCGGTGGCCATCTGTGTGGTGCTTCATAATGCAGTCTGTTCCCAACTCAGTTATGTGTTACATATTAAAAAAAAAAAAGCTTCAACATGTTAAGACTTCCTCACTTTACTGAAGATGCACCATGCTCTCCTTTGGTTATCTTGATGGTGCTATAAAAATGCTATCGTGCTGCTCAGCAAGAGTTACTTCTGTGGACATCAGTGAAAGATCTATTTAAGTGAACTGTATTTAATAATTACCCATCAGTTATGTAGCATTTGGAAGGAAATAAAAGCAGATTAGTCTCTGTATGTGCTGGAGAGGAAGACTTTAAAAATAGAGAAGTATTATGTATTCTATCTGTAAAACAAGAAGTAACCTGAAGCATGGAAGAGAAGTAAGATACAGTAAAAAGAGAGATTTTTACAAGAGTGAAACTAGTTGTTGTGATTGGGCTGCATGATAAATGAAGGAGAGATTTCTTCCTTCCTGCCCATGGGTGGAAGCCTCTCAACTCATCTCATCCACCTGAATGGTGGAGAAAGGCACCCCTGATGGCAGTGGGGTAGCTCTCTTTCCATTTCTGAAATGGTGTGATTATCTCAAGTGCTGTTCTACCTTGCATCTTGCCTTTGGAGTGAAGATAGGATCTTGTTTTAACTTGGTTACACTGATGTATGTGTTGCCCTAGCTCTGTGCGTTCAGCCCATAGCCCTTATCCTAGTTTGTTTCTGCTCTTGTTCTTGAGTGAGTTTATTGCTGTAACATAAAATGAATTAGCAGGGAGCAGGGCTTCTTGAAGGTCAGCAGAACCATCCAGCTAGCACTTCCCCTGATGGAGTTGGAAGGGGTAGAGCCTTCATTTCAAATTGCACTGGAAAGCTCTTTTCTCTTTTTTTCCTTTACTTGATTTGAGTACCAAAAATTACCAGGGCTGCTCTGAAAGTAATGCCTCCTCTTTTATGATGTCTGCTCACCATGTCAGAGGCAGATGGTGGTGGTAGGGTGGTAGAAGTTGAACCTCCCCATCAATATTCTGCTACATTTTGTTGCTGTATGACAAATGGGAGTGGCTCATGGTTAGAACTATGTTGAAGAAAAACTGTTTTGAAGCAGCTGAGAATTTGCTCTATCGAATAGTGCTATTGTGCAGTTTGTATCTGTGGTAACTTCCATGGTAATAAATAGGAGGCTCCTGAGCAACTTTCTAAACTTTCTCTGGGTTCCTGTTGAGATTAATGGGACCTCAGAGCCTGTTTGTTAAAGGAGTAAACAAAGATTCTATTTTAGCCTGCTGATTTCTTAAACTGGCTTTCATTGATTACAGAAAATAGCTCAGTTTTTGCAAATGCAGTAATTACTTTTCTGGAGGATTGGGAAGGATTCGCTGTGCTTTGCTGTTTTTGTGGGTTTTCTAGAAAGTATGTAGGAACTGGGAGGTGGTGTTTCTGGGCTGCATTTCCTGCATCAGCCCGGGGTAAATGTCTTCCCTCTCTTTCTCTTTCCCCTCCCAGCGTTCAGTTGGGTGTTTAATACATTAAGATAGGGATGTATTAAAAGGTCCCTTTTGATCAGAAGGCCAGAGTTGCAGTTATTGCATTCGACACAGAAGATTACATCCCTCATGTATTCACAGGGAACAGATCCCAGAACTCTCTCAGATCTTGCAGGATGGGTGCACTGGTTCTGAACTTCAGTTCCTGCTATCTGCTCAGTTCAGTACTTCTGTTGCTGATGCACAAATTGTTCTCCACACCACTGCTCTGGGTACAGATATGAGGAGTGTCATGTTTCTAATTTGTCCAATATGCGAAATGGACAACATTCTCAAGGCTGTATTTTATTTATTACATTAATTGAAATATTTAACACAGTGCCTTCAGTGTTGTTGTGAACGTCCTATTTAATGTAATTGCTCTGGGTCTGATTGCATTGTCATAAAGACCAGTGATGTGCAACTGGGAGGTAGAATGGTCTGCTCGGTTCTGGAGATGCTAAGCATGATGTCTGTACTTTAATGTGTGCACTGGTTGTTGTAACATAGGATTACTGTGATTTAATGAGAAGCCAAAAGCAGCCGAAATAGGAATTCTCCCTGAACCTTCCCCCCCCTCAAGGATACATACAGCCAGATACTGAATACTGCCTTTGCATGTACTTACTGCAGTGACAGAATTCATTTATTAAATTAGCTAGGCCAAGCTTCATGTTCAGTTAGACATCTGCAGCTCAGACTTCCATCAGTGGGAACATGTATCTACCAGCAAATCCCCGACTGCTGTGTTCAGAGGCAAGTATTCTTTGTTACACTGTGCCCCAAAACGGCAAAATTTTGCTGTGTTGCAGTGTAACAAGGCAGCAGGTCTGTGTTAAACAGCTCAGTGGCAATTATGCCCAATTAATGGAGTAAATGTTGTAACGTTTTGTGATGTCTTTGGAGCGTTCGGCAGTTAAGAATTCCTGTAAATGAAAGTGAACCTTTTCCAGGAGGTGGGAAGGCTTTGCTTAATATTTAAAGATAGAATTAAAAGTTTCCAAGCTAAAGAAATGACGTGTGGTCTGAATTATTTTGATGGCTCGAAGGAATGCTCCCCTGCACTTAAAGCTTTAGGAGACTTCATTGCTTGACTAATCAATGCATGGAGTGCCTTCAGCCTCTGCTTACTGCAATGGGGATTGCCAACCTTCTGAATCTTAGTGTGTTTAAATATGAAAAATTTTAAACTTTTTCTCCCTCTAGGATCACCATCCTTGGAACGGGTGCCAAGTGGCTTGCTGTGCTAGAAGAGAAAAACTTAAAACCATGTAAGCTTCTGAAAGCTATTGCATCTCCTTTGTTTGTTTTTTTTTTACCCTCTGCCCTGCCTTTCTTCTCAGATTCCAGCCCTTGTCACAAACAAATCTTACCTCATTTTTGTGGGTTGTAGTGTTGAACGGTTACAAACTCTTGTGAAGATTTAACCTGACCTTAGTTTGTGGATTTCCTCCTTTAAAGGTGAAACACACAACCTCCAAACGCTCCATACTATATTGTCTACAGGATCGCCTCTCAAATCTCAAAGCTATGAGTATGTCTACAAGCACATAAAGAGCAGTGTCCTCCTGGGATCCATTTCAGGTGATGCTTCTATGCTATATGCATCTTAATTCTGTTCATTGCCTTTATATTTCCTTTTTGCTTGTTTCCTACTGTGCCTTCAGGAAACCTAGACGTTGGAGCATTCGGGTTTGGGTAGAGTTAAACTGGAATTAATTCTCTCTTGTGCAGATACCTTATGAGTAATTCAGTATGCCATAATGAAGCTCATACAGGAAAGCTTTTAGATTGAATGTTTCTGATATGGTGGATGTTCTGCATTTTAGAGTCTTTTTTTTTTTTTTTTTTTTTTGAAGCAGGATCATTTATTTTGACTCGCTGTCCTTAGGGGTTGCAGGGTGAGATCAAGAAAAGAGTCTATTAACCTACAGAACATAGGGCTCTGAAAATAGCTGACTTCAGCAGGAAATGCCTCTTAGAGAGGTTTTTCCATGCTCCCGTTTCAATTCTTTTGTGCCACATAATTGGCACAGCAGACAGATCTTTGTAAATTATATAATTAGAGAAATATCAAGCCCACATACTGCGTAGTTTGTTGTGAGGAGTGCTGGCTGAGGCAACTTCTGTACATAGAAGGTCCCTCATAACTCCTCATGCTGCTTTGTAATGAAGACTGAGTTTTCCCAGGGCTTTTAAGCTTCGTTTAGTTTGATGTTGTAGTCTGACTATTCTGCTTCTGAAGTCACTCTGCTCTTAGTAAGAGTAGTGCTGGATTCTAGACTTGCTACTACAGACATTGATGGTCTCAAATGTGGAAAACTGTTTTGATAACTAAAGCCAGCAGTATTGATTTCGTCTTAGAATTCTACATCTTTAAAGACCTGTAAGTATTCCAGTTGTGTGCACTTTCTCAATGCCTATTTTTATTGGGAGAACTGCTCATCCTCTGAGTGTGGTTGCCTCCTCCTTGGCTGCCAATATGAAGAAGGAATAGAAGCTATGTATTGAGTGGAAGGGCTAGTTCAAGCTAATGAAAACAAACAAGAAAAGATTTCCAAGTGGTCTCGAATATCGAAGTCAGTGCAGTAGGGCTTGTTTCTTTTGTCATTCTTACATAAATGGATTTTTTCTAATGAGCCTCAAGAACCTACTGATATGGATCTACTGGAAGAAAAGCTATGCCTTAAGGAACTCTTCTGCATGAAAGGTGTTCATGTTTGAAGAGTTGCACACACAAAACAGGAGAAGAAAGCTCTGCTGTGAGAAATCATATAGCAGTGGTAATACTGACTGTTGTCTGTGCTGTATAACGTGGTTAGAAACATTTGACAAAGGCAGCAGCCTGACATTCTGGAGTTCTTATAGACTTCTTCTGTTTTAGGTGGGACAGATATAATTTCATGTTTCATGGGTCAGAACGTTACGATTCCAGTTTACAAAGGAGAAATTCAGGCCAGAAATCTTGGGATGGCTGTGGAAGCATGGAATGATGAAGGTACCTATTCTCAAAACGTTACTGCACTTACAAAACAGAGCAGTTATGATGTTAAGTGTGCCAGTCATCAGATGGCTGTCAGCTGTGAGTAGTGATTTCACTATAGAAACGTGTTCCACAAAACCTTTCTCTGGATCTGTCTGATCTGGAGTGTGAAGCATTACAATGAAAATAAATGTGTAAAAAAAAAAAAACAAAAAAAAACTTCTGCTTTTCCATTGCCTTGAGGAAGCACACTGGGCCAAGTTGTAGCCTCTGTGTGTGTGTGCTGATCAGCTGTGTTGTTGTAGATGCCAGTCTGTCCTTCCCCTGTGGTATAAGTGTCCTTAAGTTACTAAGTTAATAAGTCCTTAAGCTGAGGTAGGGATAAGTTCATGAATTAAATAAACTGTAAGATCGTCAGTCATCCCTTACCTCATATCTGCATCAACATCAACATTTGTTATTTACATGCAAGATGCTTTTTGCTTTGCTATTCAGTTGTTTACGGAAGGGAAATGCAGGACGTAACTTTTTCTTTGTAAACAGGAAAACCAGTTTGGGGTGAGAGTGGAGAGCTGGTTTGTACCAAGCCCATTCCCTGTCAGCCTACACACTTCTGGAATGATGAGAATGGAAGCAAATACAGGAAGGCTTATTTTTCAAAATTCCCAGGTATGTGATGGAGGGGGTTGGATGTCGCTCTAGCTGCCAAGTGTAAAGATTGTATTGCTGCTATTGGGAAGGTACAGGTTTGTTCCTGCCCAGGGATAGGCAGGTGCAGCTCTAAAATGAGACTGTGAGGATGGGAACTCCAAGGCATATCTGATAATTCTCACTCCATTATTTTTGGTGTTTTAAATATGGATTCAAATCACTTTAATAAGAATGTCTGGAAAGCTGCAATCCTATTTTGCTCGTGCTCTCATTAGGCAGATATATGGCTACAACAGCTTGGTAATCTGCAATGCAGACATAAACTGCTTGGCATGAGTGTGAAGCAAAAGTGCTCGATAGGTCAGGGAGCAATCCTCCATTAATGAGTTCTACAGCACCTCTGCCAGGCTGCTCCTGCCTGGCAGGAATGGATCCTAGGGGATAAGTGCTAGCCTGCTGCTTCCATTGCATGAGGCTTAGGTATGCACTGCCTCAGACGTGCATATTCTGCATTCATCCAGGCTTTCAGCGCTGCTAAGAGTAAGAGGAAATGATGCTGACAGCCAGAGGCTTTCATCCTAATCATTGTGAGAACTCTGTTCATCCACCTTTTGCATATGCAGAGTGGTGATGCTGTACTCCCTGCTGCCCACCGGACAGGGGCTCATAGGAGCAAGTCCTTGAGCCCTTTCTTTCTGGAAAGGCTTTCTATAAAGAGCAGCGTAGAAGCACAAGAAAAACTGGGATGTGCAGAGGAGATAATTATATAGGAAGATTGAGGGAATATGGGAGTTGGTCAGCATGAGTGTGACAATAAGAAGTAGAAAGACACCGAGAGTTGTTGGGCTGAAGTAATGATGGTTCCGAGGTTTGTGTGAAACTCTTTTCCTTGTAAATAGGCTTGCAGTTGTAACAGCAGTGATGGCAAATTGTGTTACATGATGTATGCAATCGAGGCTTGTTTTTCTTTAGGAAAAATTTAATAGAGCTGGCTTGAATTTCTGCTTGTGACAGTCTGCTGTATTGGTCTCAGTCTTAAAAATAATACGAGAATTATTCCTGTTCTGAAGAGTCAAATCTGATACTATGTTATCAAGAGTATTAAGCGCCTAAGCTCCTTAGTGAACTGCTGAGACCTATTGTGCAAACTCAGAGAGCTTCTTGCACAGAATTGTACACTGTGAAAGAAGTGGGTCAAGAAAGACCAACGGGAATACTGTTACCTTTGTGAAAGATTCTTTGTTTCCTTAAATTGTGGTGTTCAGAGCAGAGTTTTGTCAGTTTTCTAGAGGAAAACTGCTACGTAGCCTGCAAACAGGCAATCAGAAAATAATCTGGGGTTTGATCAGAATGTGTGAGCTGCTTTTGTGTGTGCCAGCTTGTTGTGATAACTGCAGAAGGAATCCACGCTGTGTTGAAGTACTGCTGTGTTTGCTGTGGGTGGCTCTTCAGGTACATCTGATGCAGTAGGATTCTGGCTGTACAATAGAAGATGCAGAGTTATTACACAAATGTATTTTGTAAGTGGAAGAATGAGAAATTGGCTGCTAAAAGCGTTGTCATTCTCTCACAGGTGTTTGGGCCCATGGTGATTATTGCAAAATTAATCCCAAGACAGGAGGAATTGTCATGCTTGGGCGCAGGTACAGTATGATGGTGAAAGGGTTTTCCATAAGCAGGCCTTAAAATTGGCAAACGTACCCTTATTGCAGAAAGGCAGCCATTGAGTTGTTAGAGATGATAGCAAAATTGGAGGTCACAAGTGGGGGTAAATGTTATGCTTGCATTTGCATACTAGTGTTCAAAATAAAGGTGAGTGACTGTGCTGGAGCTGTGTGGCTCTGTCACAAACAGGTCTACTTGCAGGCATAAGGTGTGAGGCTGCTGTGTGTGAAACACAAGTTTCTCAGCTGCTGAGAAGTAATGGCACACAACTGCAGTGCAGTGAAGTTCTAGGAAGTCTTTTTCCTGTTTTGTCAGTGTACACCTCTAAGCAAAGGAGAGAGAACTAGCTGCATTTGGGCTACTGTGAGGAGGAGGGGGGGAATGGGAATGGATAATGCTGGATTTCTCTGTACAGTTTTGTTGTAATGAGCAAAAGGCCTTTTTCACAGCATCGAGTTATTTTAAAATTCTGTTTCTTATGTGGCTGTCTGCATATTCACTGCATGAAACGTGGAGAAACTTGGTTAACTGCATCATTTTTTTCTTTTGATCAAGCTGTAATTACATTTTAATGCCTCTTTGTTTTGTGTGTGACTTTCAGTGATGGTACATTAAATCCAAATGGAGTAAGATTCGGAAGTTCTGAAATCTATAATATAGGTATGAAATCAACTTTTCACATCCTTTAACTACAACCTTGTTGCCATAAATCTGAGATACGAGTGCTATAGAGGTGTCTGGAAAGGCTGAGTGATAAAACTTGCTCTTTTTCAAATGGAAAATGGTACATATTAACATGAACAATAAAAGTCTGTCCTGTAGACTTGAAATTGGTTGCCTTCCTAAAGCATCTAGAGCAGATAGTGCAGGTGACTGCAGTCAAGTCACTGCAGGTGACTTGAGACGTTCTCTGTAAGATGTTGCTTTCATATAACAAGATCTTACAGGTATTTCAATCAAATTTAGAGAGTACTTCTGAAGCTATGCTTTCTTTTTCCCTTAGCCAAGCTCTTGACACTATTTTGTTTTATCTCATCGTTCCTGATAAGTACTTGAGCTTATGTTACAATAACTGATTGAAAAGAAGGATTGCAGGTGAAGCCGAAAGTGCAAAGGGATGGGGAGGCTAGGATGCACTGCTGAAGCCTGTTCAATTGAAATAGTGTTCTGCTGGGAACGGTGTCTTCCCAGTGCTGTGTGAGGTTTGGAGGATCAAGTTCCCTTAGCTGCAGAAGAGCTGTGTGGGTGTTTGTGGCAGCTGCCCTGGGTCATGCTCCATTTCTGCACTGCGGTGCTTTAGCTGGGTAACAGGCTTCTCGTGTTGGAAGGCTTACCCTGGTACAACTGACGTCTGGTTCTGCCTCCCCAGAATAGGGAACAGGGTTCTGTAGTATAAATAGCAGTTTTAGCAGGGACTGGTTTGAATCCTTACAATTTGAATCTAGTGCAGCCTCCATGAGACTGTCAAGATGCAAACGGCTTCGTATCTCAAACGTCTGCCTTGTGGAGGGCGGTGTAGCTGCGTGCCAAGGTGTGAATCTTCCCTTGGGCACCTGTTGCCACACCTTGTTCCTATGTGATCAGACGTGTTAGATTTCTGTCTAAGCAGCAACTGGAGATCGGGAGACAAACCAAAGACAATAGTTTTGTGTAAAAACTGCCATCAGCTCCATTTTTGTCCCGGGCCTACATACAAATGGCCCTTAAAACTTCAGCTGAGCAGGAGTTAGAATCTCAAAGCTCCTGGAGGCAAGGCTTGCAGAATGACCTAGCCAGGAAGTCTGCTTTCCCTTTGTACATCCCAGGAAGTAATGCTTTCTTTTGCAATCATAGAAATCGTGTGTTCAGAATAAAACAAAGCACGCACTAAAAAATGACTCTTCTTTGATTTCCAGTTGAGGCCTTTGAGGAGGTTTCTGACAGCCTCTGTGTCCCTCAGTACAACAAGGATGGGGAGGAAAGGGTGATACTCTTCTTGAAGATGGCTTCAGACCATGCGTTCAGCGAGGACCTGGTGAAAAGAATTCGAGATGCAATCCGTGTAGCACTTTCTGCCAGGCATGTTCCAAGCCTCATTCTAGAAACCAAAGGCATTCCGGTATGTCATGAAAAATGCTGCCTACTTTTTTTCTTTGTCACCTTGAATAGTAATTAAGGAGCAGTTGTCATTGCTCTTCAAGCCCACATGCATGGAAATTTTAGCATCTCAAAAGTGTATTTGAGCTTTATAAATAGTTTGTCTATGTTGCCTAGCAACATCATTTCATCTCCTTTTCAGCTAAGTGTGTTTTTGTTTTTTTTAACAATACCTAAAAATGCCCATTCTCAGCTTATAAATATATGAGCTGCTTTTCCTCAGTAATATATACTTGAAGTCTTTTAAAGGAAAATATTAGGAAGGTAATTTAACTTAAGCTTTTCACGCTACCCATAAGCTTGGTTTGTTTCTGTTTTCCAGTTTCAAATGACATCCTTATGAAAGCTGAGAGCGCTGAGCAAATTTATGAAATCATTTTGCAAACCGTTTCACTTGTACATCTGTTTAGCCATTTAAAACGTAGCTTTATCACTGTCTTCCCAGTAGCAATAACTAAAAATCTTTCTGCTTGTGAAAGGCAGAGAGGAAAAATGTACAGCTAAAGGTACTGCATGCTCAGTCTTCTGGAATTGTGAGCTGTAGTATTCTACCCTACTCCTCCTTGCTCTATGAACTCTTATTTAGGAAGCCCATCTCTTACCTAGTCCTCTCTGATACTACAGCCTCCTCAACAGCTCTATGGACACCTTACTGCAGGATGGGGATGCAGACTGTGTTGTCTTGAGGCCACATGCACATAGGTTTGAGGCTTCAGACCCATCATTTTGTGCTCTGGTACCTCATCTACTGTTCCAGGGCACAGGACTGCCAATTTCATAATACACAGCGATCTGGATCTGATCTGTTGGGTTATTTCTGAATCAAGTTGCTCTTCTCCAATAGTATTAGCTTTACAGTGCTGTCATAGCATGAACATAAAAGCCCCTGCATCTGACAAATGGTGAAGGTTAGATTTTTCCAGGCTGTGGTTTGGTTTCTGCATGAAGTGTTCAACTTGTAAGCTGCATAAATCACTTGGATGTACAGCATAAAGTTGATGGCAGTGAAGTGTTTATGATGGTCTGTCCCTCAGGAAAGCATGCTTAGATCATTAATTAGTTCACACTTTGACTGAATTTAAAATGGAGTGAATTTTAATTACATTTCAGGTAAATATTCCAGTGGTAAAACGATCAAAGCTGTCTCCTATCTTTCTTTGAAGGTTTTGCTTGGAAAGGAAACCTCTTTTCTGCTACTTATAGAACTGTATTTTCTGATGGGGGGATAGAAACCTGTCTAATCCTGACTTTATGCTGCCATTGCCTACTGGTGGAAATAGCACAGCTGTGCTTCAGTAATGCAGAGCATTGTTTTTCATGAGATCTCCAGGTGTTCAGAAACATTGTGGGCTCTGTGTGCAAATCTTCACCGTCCCATCCTGACCTGATAAACACTGATCAAATGTAGCAGAAAAGGGAAGGTGTGAGGCTGCACTGTGGCTGGGTTCTTAGGTAGGCGTTCTTATTAATCTTTCCATGAAGCTGCTGCATGAAAAGTGTAATTCTGTCATTGCTGGCTTTGTTTTTCAGTATACGATCAATGGGAAGAAAGTGGAAGTGGCCGTGAAGCAAATAATTGCGGGGAAAGAAGTAGAGCAGCGGGGAGCTTTCTCAAACCCAGAGACTTTGGACCTCTACCAAAATATTCCTGAGCTTCAGAATTTCTGAAGCCACGTGTTTGTGGTTGTTGGTTTGGGTTTTTTTTTTGCGTCTGTCTTTGTTCTGTGTTTGTTTTGTATATACCAATGCTGTATGTAAAGAAAAAGCTCTATTTAATACCAGTGGTTCTTTTAGAAGAAAAAGAAATATCTTGTAAAGTGCATTCTGAAAGGCTCGGGTGAAGCTTAGCTCCCTTTTATTGCTTCAATATGCCATACGTCCAGCCTGGAAGGAGGAACCTGCCTGTGCTGATTTTTGTATCTATGCCGAATGCGTTGTTTCTGGTTTAGATTCCCCTCAGCAGCCCATCAGATGGGAGCACCATTAGCAGGTGTTACAGTTGATAATAGAATATTTCTTTCACAAAATGTTCACGTTTTTAAAAAAAAAAGGAAACTGGATTTTTAACGTTTTTCTTTTTCAATGCATTTTAGAGCCACCTGCAAGGAAGGTGCAGCAGTTGTAACTACTTGTCTGTGAAACACAGAGGCATCCTACGCGTGCGTTTGCATGTTTTTATAAAGCCAAATCATAATGCACTAAATCTATCTGACTTGACTCAGAATAATTCCAGGCCCCAAACAGCTGGTGGTACTTCTGAAGGCAACTGCTGCTCCGTTTTGTGATGGAGCCCTCCTGTTGTTTCAAGCTCTTCATCCATAGACTTCAGGGGATTGCAGAGGTGGAGGAGCAATCGCTGCTGTATTGCTGGCGTAGCTCTGGGGTCTGTCTGTGGAAATGATTGTAATTACTCTGAGTTTAACATCACTGTAGTTGGAGGCAGCGTTTGCCTCCTTGTTTTGAAGTTCTTTACTGGCAGCAATCCACCGTTACGTTAGCTGAAGGATTCCAGTGTGTCCATTTATTAAAAGCTGATGATTTTGTAACACTTTTTTTTTTACTTAATGTCACCGTGAAAATGAAAGGCTAACATGTTTTCTAGCCCTGTACCCTTCCAGTTCATAAAGGGAGAAATACCATAGTGAGCATACTAAAACAGTAAAATGGAAGCACTAAAACGTTGTTTTCTTTTCCCACGAGGAAAACAGAGTGGCAGCAGTTGTACTGAACCTCTGGCAGTCAGCATCTCCTGCACTATTTGAGTTTTGTGGGTTAAGTATTTAATGCATTAAAATAATGGATGTCCTTACAATTGTGTTGAATGCATTCAACAGTAATAGAGTTAATTAAAATAAATTGATTCTTTATATATATATATACATATATATATAATATATATATTTGTTTACACTTTCACTCAGCTATTGTCTTAATTTTCTTTAGATTGGTTGTCATGGAACCATTTGTAACTTAATTTCTGCTGATGATTTTAATGGGTTTTTAAGCCAAGTCTATCCCCACAGCAAAATGTTTGCTCTTGTTTGTTTTATCCTGTTTCTTTCTGGTGCAGAGCCCAAGACAAGCAAGCATAGGTGCTGGCTATGTATGCATGGCTGGCTCGTTTAGAAGGTCACAGGTAAACAGGAGAAGATGTGCTGCACGTGTGCTGGTGGCATTATGGGAAGGAGCTGCAATGTGTTCATGCTGCTAACAGGGGAGGAAGGGCATGGCCCGTTGTTTAGGGCAGGATCAAGGAGTTGGTGGTGGTGATGTTTTGCTGCAGATAGTCGATGTGAACTGCAGTTTCCTCCCCCTGTGACAAATCTCAGCCAGCTCAGTAAGCTGAATGCTGCTGCAGAGCTCATCGAGTCTGGCTGTTCATTCACACAGGGTGAAAGTGCCCCTCTGTGACAATGTGAAGAACGCAGTCGTTGTGGGCAGCAGCTCCACACCCGCTGCGGGGCTCAGAAATGCCTCATTAGCAAATGAGTCTTTAAATGAGTTGGTTTCCATTTGACTTTTTGAACTGTACCAAGTTGGACAGTATAGATGCTGGCGTGAGAAATGCTAGCACATAAATACCAAGCACCCGTTAGGAAAGTATAAAAATGAGCTATCCAGCTGCCAATAACCTATGATTAAAAGTATTTTTAAATTCCTTTCCCCTCTGGCGTGCTATATATAAATTTTACATTAACTGTGACTTTGTATTCATTAAAACTTCATCATATTGTTCTTTAATTCATGCAAAATGTCTGTTTACAAAGCCCACAGACCCTTATTAATAAGTAATTTGGGGATATTTCATTAATTAAAGATAGTTTAGAAGCACAGATATGCTAAAAACATATACAGTGCCTACAGGCTGGGTTTTTTTTTTTTAAATCCTATATCATACTGGAAAAATTATAGGAAGCTTTAACAGATCTAATTTGATCTCCTGCAAATGTCAGACTGTACAAAGGTGTTCCCAGACTGTATAACAGGGAAAAAAAGTGTGTGTATGTGTAGGTCTGTGTGCTGGAAATGACCTGCTAGCTGTAAAGCCTTGACAGGTGATACAAATTCTATGCCCTGCTGACGGTGAGCTCTGAGTGCCTCACCTGGTTTTAAAGAACTGAGTTTCAGAAGTGCTGGGGACACAACTGATGGAGATGAGGGGCGAGTTGTTCCTTGAGGGAGGTGGAGGCAGAGCTGGCTGTTGTTCAGGCTTCCTGAGGCCGGCTCCAAACAGCCAATGTACACCAAAGGTAAGCAGAGAGAAATGCAAGTGACCTGTTTCTTTAGGTACTGCAACACAGCTCTGTCCAGATGGGGAGCAGTTCAGAATGCCTGGAAAGGTGGGGGCAGCTCACCAGCTGGCAATAAGGAGCAGAGAAGGTAGTTTCCTGCTGCCTATCTACAGCTATAAGCTAGCTGTGCTCTCTTCAGAGCCTGGACGTAAGGAAGTAGTGATCAAACATAGGGAAATAGGGGGCAAATGCTGTTTCAAGAGGATTCTTGTGAGCTCAGGTCTTCTGTCCCAAGATCTGCTGCCTTTGGGCCGTCAGTGTGTAACCAGTGGCACCCGGTTATGCATGCTGCCTATTCCCAATCTGGGGTTTGCAGTGCTTTGCTGGGAAAGTACAGATACTTGTGGCACGTGTGGGATGCAGAGAGCTCACTGCAGATCACTGTAAGCCTCTGGCATAAGTGTTCATCAGGGGGAACTTCAGAGCAGCAGTATCACAGCTGGGGGCGTTTCTCAGGCGGTCTTCTGCAAATCTGAGAGCACCTCCATAGAACTGTATGGCCCCATCCATTTGTCCTTGACTCACAGTTTTATTGCTGCCATCATAAACGTGCTGTTGTCAGCTCCTCTCAAAGCAGGTACTTTCCCTCTCACTGCCTTCTGATTTCAGATAATTTCCATGGTTAGCAGTGGTTCCAAAGAAAATGAGCAGGCGGCCGCTGCCCGAGCAGGATGGAGCTGATAGAAGTTACATGCAAAAGAGAAATTGGTTGTGTGAATTACAAAGTCGGTGATTTTAAAGACAAAGGTAACTGCCTGATGGAGTCCACCTTCCCTGGGGCTGTTGATGTCTTTTGTTCAGTACATGCACAGTGAGAAGGATACTGCTGGCAAGGCAGAGCAGTCAGTCACACAGGCAAATGAGCATTAAGGCAATATTAAAATGCATTAGTGGAGTGTAACAGCTTCATCCTGAGATGGAACTGCGGGGCTGGGGGGTTTGTAGGGTCACCAGAAAGAAGCTGAATGCTGTCCTGCGTTGTAGCAGGAATGCACAAGCTTGGTGCAGCGTGGCCAAGCTGCTGAGAGCATGTGCTCCATTGAAGTGCTGATCAGCCTCAGCTGAAGCACCTTGCTCTGATGGGCTGTGTGCAAAGCAGGAGTGAATTGGTGTGCAGAGGAGTGGGAAACAGCTCCTGAATTGCTGTTAGTGGGTCTGAGGGCGTCTTGAACAATTTGAGCTGCAGAACTGCAGGGTGCCCCCAGCACTCGCACTGCAGCCTCAGCTGTCCATGCAATTCTCCTCATGGTTCCGTGGGTCGGAGGAATCCTTCTCAGTCACAGAGTTTGGGGACAGAGCAGTGCGTGGGGGAGGGAATCCTCAGTGTGCTGTTGCTGAGCCATTGTTCTGTAGTGTGTTAGCAAAGAATTAATTGGGCCTCCTTACTTCATAATTACAAGACCTTCTTTCTTGCCCTAACGCTTTGAGCAGTGCTTTTGCGGAGTTCGAGAGGGTTATCAGCGTTCTGCCTGACACAATGAGGACCCATAGGAAAAAAAAAAAAATGTACTCAGGATTGTTGATTATGATGGCATATTGAAGAGCACACAGAGGTTCACACTGCTAAGGAATCTGCTCTCCAGAGTTCCCTTTGTCAGTGCCATTCCCTTCCTGTAGCCATTTAAAGGCAGAAGTGGTTGGTGCAGGGTAACATTCCCACCCCACGGTGGGGTTGAGCCTCTTCAGCTGCTGTTAGCTACAAAAAGGTACCACTGAGCTGAAATAACCTGCCTGCAGGAAGGGAGCTGAGCTGAGCAGGTCCGGCTCTGCACCTCCATGGGCCTGGCTGTGCCAGCCTGGCTGTGTGGCTGCTGCACTCACCTGAGGGTTTTAATTGGCCTGGTACTTATGTATAATGAAATATGCCAGATACACGACACTTCATGAATTAATGCAGGAGGGTAAAGCATGGAGAGAAGTTCTGGTACAGGGTTTGTTCTTCAATGCAAATGCCAAGCGAGGCTGCAAATGGCCCTGGTTATCTCGCATTGCGGGGCCTGTTTCACGCTTTGCTTTAGGGTTTATTCCTGTTTGCTGAGCTGTGCTGCTGTGCAGGGACAGGGAACCGAGGAAGGAGAAGCCCAGAGCAGCACAAGGAGGCTGCTGTGTGCTGGGATCGCTGTTCCAGCTGCGCTTGGTGCTGCCCCATTGGATTTCTGTGCGATTGCTCTCTCATCTCCCACTCTTTCTGTTCCTCCTGGTTTGTCTCCCTGGCTCTTAACTGGCAAAGCAGTTCTGCACTGGAGCGATGCACCGTCCTGTTAGGATGCAGCCCCTGCAGCACAACAGCCCTGCCCTAACGAGGCCAAGACATGCATGGCAGTGCGAGGAGCTCAGCACAGCACCCGGCTCTCAGCTGCCTCTCTAATAGGCTCAGCCCTCGCTTTAGGGTCGCTAAATGCCATGTGCATACTTGAAGGGCATGAATGTAATTAATATTACGCTGCCTTGATGTGATTTGGGAGCAGTGACACACCACCATCTCTGGGCCTGGGAAGGAGCATTTGGCTTCGCTGCCCAACTCCTCCCGCGCCTCCTGAACATTCATTATGCCTTAAACACTCTCACACTGGGTTTTTTCAATGGTCTAATTATAAACTTCATTATAATTGTTCATTAGTTTTATTTTGTTCAATTAGCTTAACAAGTTGCCAAATGAAATACAAGGCTGGCAATTAGCTTGATCTGATTGTAATGAGCCACTCAAATTGGGTCACCAAATATGTGCATTTATGGCACTTTTTCTTTTCTTCCATCGGTGAACAATAACATAAATATTCAGAGCATCTCCTGCTCTAAGGAGTGGAAATTTCCCCACTCATTTGTTAAAGTAGAGGTGAAAATCAATAGTTTTGTGCCTGGGAGCCCCTGTCCCGCAGAGCAGGATCTGAGGCTGAGCTGTGAGCAGCGGGGTCCCTCTGCCCTCAGGTTTCCTCATCTCTGCATCCCAACGAACGCTGCGTTCAGGCACCCTGCAAGCATTGCTCAACCAGCAGCCCCAGCGGTGCCCTGAGCTCTCCCTCAGCTCCTATAGAAGGAAGGAGGAAAGCTTGGGCTGAGCTCTCCTCCCCCGGAGCTCCCAGAGGAGCGGGGGCCGTGCTCAGAGCCATCAGCCCTTCCCTGCCGGACCCGGGGGCTGTGCTGTCCTTTCAGTGCCGACGGCGGGGCGCTTTGCACACAAAGGGGAGGGGAGGGGAGCACTTGGTGACGAATCTCCCGGAGCGGCTGCAGCGGGATGCGCTGCGCTCACAGCCTCTCTGCTCCTAATTCACTTTGCTCGCTTTCTATCAGCTTCATTCCTGCTGGGCTCAGATCAGGCAGGGACAGCTGTAAACAGGGCCGCCGCAAGCTGCTAAAATTGCGAAAGGGCCGTGCCACACATGGGTCTGCATTCGATTCGAGCAGTTACAGCTGTAATCTCCATTAATTTTTTGCAGTGCTCCTGGTGGTAGGAGTCTCTCCTCTTCATTAGAGAGGCAGACCTGAATTTCTGAGGATGGGGGGGTGAAGTGCTGCCTGCCTGGGCTTGTGCTGAGAAGATCCCTTTTCTATATCTGGCCTGGAACACCTCCCTGCCCTCCCTTGGGGCTCTGTGCTGCTCGTGCCCTTCCACCCACCTGCTGGCACCGAGCAGTACAGGTGACAGCACGGCGTGCTTCTCATGCAAAGGTAATTCTTAATAGGGATGGAGCCCCGTGAAAAAGAACAGCTGGATCCGATCGAGGTGCTGATTAAACCCATATCTGCTCCACCTGCTGTGGAGCCAGAGAAGCACAGAGCCCCTCGCTGAGCATCTGTGCTGCTTTGCCACAGGGGAGCAGGAGCTGGGTTGCCCCAGCCTCGGGCAGAGAGCAAGGAGACCTCACAGCACAAACTGTGTGTGAAGCCCATGAGCCCAGGCTCAGTGGAATTAAGGGCTGCATGTTCTGGTTGGTTCAAGGGCATCAGAAACATGGTGCGAGATCGCTCCTCTTTGTTTTGACAAAGCTAAGAGATAAAATCAGGCTCCTCGTAATTATGCAAATAACAGCATCTCTGTGGCATGCGACTGATTCTTCTGTACACAATTATTTCCTTAAAAGTGGGTTTTACGACCAGCTATTATGGCAAATAAAGAAGGGATAACCAAAGGATGCTTTATAATCTGAATGTAGAAGAGGCCTCACTCCCAGCCGCTGTCGCTCTGTTTGGGTGCAGCAGTAAAATACGAGGCTGCAATTTGGTACCACATTCATAAGAGTGGCAACAACTGCAAACCAGAGGACAGCAAGTGGAACAGAAAAGCATGCTTGTGCAGGGAGTGGAAAACCCAACTCGGGGACCTGTTTGCAAGGATCCCAGAGGGACGCTTTCTTCGGTTATTCTCCTGTTTTACCTTGCTGGATTGATGGCAATCGCAGCAACGGCTTCCCGAAGGGCCGCGCTGGCTGTCACCGCCATCTGGTTTCC